CACAAAATTACTGGAGTATCAACTCCACCAGATACTTCAGGAACCCATGAGAGTCACAGAGCCAAATGAAGCACAAATCTGAAGTTCTCCAATGCACAAATTCACACAAATTCTGATTTCCTATCTAGCCTCATAAATCTGAATCAAAACATTTTTTACTTTATTATTATTACAACAGGTGCAGTAGACAAACATTAGCATTCTTCACATTATTTACTTAAAACAGGGAATAACATCAGAACACACATCACAAATTTCACTTTCATGGCCTTCGTGCACTACAAGATTCATGCGAGTATTTAATTCAGAACTCTAAATTATCTATACTCCCTAAATTGGTGAAGGTTTTATAAACAGGCTCTTGGTCCTTCCACTGGCTATTTTCGCATAGTCCAAAGCAGCCCTCTGAAACCCAGAGCTAATAAAAGAATCCCAACTCGGAGGCATCAAATAATGAAACCGAAGAAGGTGCTATTACAAATTTTCTACCCCTCTCATCTGATCATTCACAAGGAACACAACCAAACATATCAGAAACCTGTGAAAACACAAAACCTCAGCCATTTTAAAAATAAAGCCCAAACCAAACCAGCTTGACTCATCACACTGACTTTCAGGATTTTTAGGGGTGCACAGAAGCCTATCAAGACAAGGTGCTTACTGAATCAGGTTTATCAGCTTTTTCACAACAATTCACTCCAAATACAGAACTAAAAATATTTGCATTCTGATGCTGTTTAGGACAAGCTAGAGCTGGAATGCATATCTGCAACACAATCATATGCACACACGCCATACAGAAGGATTGCATCATGAAATTCACCATTAACACAAATAATTCACCGTTGACACAAATAATTCACCTGGTCATTCACAGGACTTCACATAATCCTGTCATTAAGAAAAAAGTAGCCAAGGATTCCAGTTCCTTACAAAGACTGTGAATGCAGCAGCTCATCTGTTAACTGTAGCCCATATATACTGTATTCAGCCTTGCCAGCTGACCTGCAGATAACAAAGCAATGTTAGCAGGACTGAAATATTTGTCCAAAGTGGACTCCTGCAGCCTGTATGAAGCTCAAAGCAGAACAACTATGCTTTTGGCACATATACAGTTTTAAGCTAGTTTATCAAACACTTTACAGAAGCTGTAGCGAGGCTTAGGCTTAAATTCCACTTACAAAATTACTAATCTTCAGTACAAGCACAAACAGTTAAAGGGCACCAACATTTAAGGTCAGACATACCTAAAATGGAAGTGTCTAGTAGGCACTAAGCATACCAGCAACCCATCAGCATCCACTACCAGGAAGCCTAACTTCAGGACAGCTGAAGACAGGGCCCAGAGTCAGGTGGCTTTGACCATCAAATTTAGACTGAAAAAAAAACGGACTGACACTGTCCTAATTATGTAAGGAACCACAAGAGGAAGCACAGAAAAGTGCTGTTCTGTGCAGGAAAACCTAGTCTCAAATGTTTTCATTGTATTTTCTGTATCTAACCTCTTTCCATATTCACTGACATGAGACTAGCAGATGCTGTAGATGGTCTGAAGCTAAGCACAGACACAAGTTGTTGGAATTTCTCTGACACTTCCACCCTTCTTTCAAATCTGATTAGTATCTTTTAGTGAACATAGTCCCAGTCAAGAACAGCTATATGGGTGAGAAAAAAAAACCAAACCAAAACAAAAAAAAACCAAACCAAAACAAAAAAACACACAAAAGCAAAAAACAAACAAAAACCCACCACAGACCCCCCCCCAACCAACCAACCAACCAACCAACCAAAATACTGTCTACCCTCTTTTCATGAGAAAGCCAGGCTTTAATACAGAAAACCAGACATTTTTATTGAAAAGTTATTGAGTTACACAACTTCGACAGCAATATATTGTATATTCATTATCAAGAATTCATATAATAGGACTCCAGTGAGAGTTTCTTATGCGAACAAGTATCGGTTTGAAACGTAAGAATAATCATGATTTTTAACCAGTGGTATACAGTAGTTTTACATATTTCCATCAGCAATTACTTTTTCAAAATCTGGCAAGTTATGGCCCAATCACATTGTCAACAGGAGCCTGGAGCACAGTGGCTCACAAATGCTTACAACTGGCCCATGTTTGTATGCACCTGTATGCTTCCACATATTTGATTTGACAATATTTTTTAAAGAATAATTCAATACCTTCAGATAGCACAGCTTACTTCTGGTAGGGCTTGGACAATATCAACTGTTATTTTTCCAGTCTCACCAAGTGAACTAGCTAGCAATGTTTTATTTTGATTTTCACATCCATTTTCTTCCTGATGTAAGAAAGCTTTTTCCACGGTTCCAGTTTGCTAACTTCACAACAGTTAAAGTACAAGCTGAGTAAGGAAATACATTTAATACTCAAACCAGTAACTTTCCCAGGAGTAGTTTATGCACAGGAACAGAGAGCTAAAACACAGCAGCTAAGCCAGTGCATCCAGTTCTCCAAACACCTGGTAGAGAGTAAGAGGGACTTCATGTCATCAGCACACCAGACAAACACTGTAGCATTTCCACTAAGCACTGTTATTCTGCCTTAAAGAAAACAAAAAAACCTAAAAAACAAACAAACAAAAAAAACAACAAACCACCACACATACACATACAAATCCCAAACAAAACCACAAAAAAAACAAACCCAACCACCACCCTCCCCCCTCCAAAAACACTCAACTACTGGATACCAAAGGAAGAAAGGAAGTTGCTAACCTCCAAATATTCTTTGGGAAACACAATGGTAGCTCTGTATCATCCAGTACCTCTCCTCTTCTTAAATCACATCTTTTTCTTGACTGTCATTTAGTATAGAAGACCAGCAGTCAGCATCTTTTTCTTACCCAGGAAGTGAAGATGCTGTATTTTACCTGAAGAAACCTTTAACTAGAAGGCAAACTGACTTCCTAAAAGCAATCTAGTGTTAGGCTGACTGGAAGGCCCTCCACTTCGACATCCTCCTCACAAAATTTTTTGTAGGCATGCTAGATACATGAGTAACAAAGGGCTGACTTTTAAATTGACATCAACTTAAAACTAATTTTAGAAAAGGTACCTGGAATGCCTATATATATACATATTCTTCAGAATATCACTCACTGTTTCTAGAGTGAACTCTAGAAACCCACTCTAGTGCCCCAGATGACACGGCAAATATGACTGTGTGAGTTCAAGTGTTCAAACTAGAAAATGTCACTATTAAAGTTTTTAACATAGACTTGTAAGTACTAACAGTCTGCATAATCTTCCGCAAACCATCTGAAGCAGGAGCCAAAAAGACAAGACAAAATGCAATTCAGTGTTCACAATTCAGCTGAATCTCTGCAAAAACTTTCACTAATGAATTTCCCGATAACAATATCCTTATGTAGTACCAGGTAATACAAAGTTTCTATATACAAAATATACAAAATTCATTCAATCTATAGAGAGGCAGCTTGTTGTGACAGTTTGTGGAAGTATAACTAGACATGGAAATGTTTCTAAATATTGTTAATTATGCTTTTATCATGTGTTGTGTCCTGAACCCAGGACATCATGGAATATGCATTTAGGTATTAAACCCCTAGAAAAATTAAGGTAGAATATTGACAGTTGCATCTCTTTCCCTAATAGTAGCACATTATCAGTATCAGCATACCAAAGAGAAAAATACATCTCTGACAGTACAAAGTCCAACTAATTTCTGAAGACAAAAAAAGGGCTTTATAATCTTTCTATCTGTAAAAGAAGGCATTATTCTAGAAATTAGTGACCAACAGTATTAAATGAGTTAGAATTTTCCATTCACATTTTTAATTCCAACTGTTTCAAGGTAGTATGAGAAGTCTTCTGACACACGTGGAAAAGTATTTCCACAGGAGACAGGAAGCAGAATGTAAAAGCCACTTAATACTGACTGGAAGTTCCAGACAGTTGCGTGGCTTGAATCAACCAACCAACTCTAGAAATGCCCAGTCCATATCAAACAGAACTGAACCACAGATATTCACATAATTTTATTTTTAACTCAGAACACCAGCACAGACCCTTCCTGAAGTCTTACATCAAGAACTGCCAGTGCTTTAAGATAAGCCTTAAGTACTACTGTGAGATTAATTTGCTTACAAACACAGAATCCTTATGCTTTTCAGACTTTTTAATGTTACCCTAGGTAACTAAAATTGTTTCCACACATACTGTTTTCAAAATGCAAAGAGGAAACAGAAATAATCATCAACAGTTATTCTAAGGCACATATGCAGCTCAGCACCACTCTTCACAGCATAACATTTCAAAGAGAAGTTTTTAATTACACAGTAGTGCTAAGTCACAGTTGTCATGCATTGGACATGTGCAGATAACTGGGCATGACAACGTTATTTCATCCTGTCTGCAATCAAACAAAAAAAAAAATCACTGTAGTTGTTCAATCTTATGACAAGCATATGCCTAGAGTAATAGAACCCACTCTGCAATTACTACTCAGTTCCAATTAGAGGATTATAATTTGTTATTTATGAGCATTAATGGCATCTAGGCACAGTATTTAAATCTCTCTAAGGAAGTGTTAATGCTAAGAATGTTGCTGTGGTAGCAGACATATTATATTTAATAAATGAACTCTGAAGTATCTGTTGCATTAGTTAAACATTCCACTATATAATACTCAAATGATTTTGGTTTTGTAGAAAACCATCACTATCTACAGTTCAGATAACCTCAAAAGAATAAAAAGCTTGCATTCTATAGAGGATCCTTCCAGAAGTTTTAAGTTTGAATGTTGACATAGTCAGTTAACATGCTGTTATGAATGCCTCTTTTAAAAGTGAAAAGCACAGCATTCATAACAGCTTAGAAGTTATGTATGCCAAAAAAATCTTGTAAATTGCAAGGTACACATTATATACAAATGAATAAAACCACATCCCTAATTGGCATTCATAAAGTATCTGCTTTTGTTCTTTAAACAGTAACAATACAACATCTTTTGTTCAGAATTATTTTATTTGGATTATAGCAATTAGTATCACTGATCAGTAGGCCAAATCCAGGCAGAGCACAGAATCCATTTCACAAGGCAACAACATGGACAAGTATTTTAGCATACAAACCATTTCACTGAATTACCAAGTAGAAATATCTTCCAACCATGCATAAAAAGTCTATGCTTAATCTTTCAGAGCTCCAGGTAATACTAGATTTCTAAATATACAAAAAATACATTTAACTTATAATAATCTTAGTGAATCAGACTTATAAAATTACAATTTTATTCTTCACAACATAGAAAAAATACAAAAATGGCTGTATATAGTTTTCACCCAAATTTCACTGACAAATATACATCAAAATGTATGATTTGATGTATACTTATGACATTTTTAAGCTGAAGTTTTAAAATGACACTGCAGATTGGTCCACACAAATGCCAACCTTTATACTGATAAATAAACAACAACCCAACCTTTGATAGAAACATCACATTGTGAAAAATTACAATTTACCTGCACTGTAGCCTGCATCTTACTGTAATTTACAATATGAACATTTCTATAATTCCAGTTGTAAACTATACAGTGATATACATCTTGGTCTTAGAGGGTAATGACTAACTCAGAGCCAGCATGGTAGAACAGGAAGTACTGTCGACTGCATCAGTGCACACAACACAGTACTTAAAGCAGAAGACACGGCTGCAGCAGAAGTTTGGTGATGCTGACAGAAAACATGCAAGCCAAGTAAATAGTCTGTGGGTAAAGAAGAACAACTCTAGATTTGTGACAGAGTACAAATCAAAGCTTCTATTATAAAGTTCACACAAACCACATTAGAATTTCAGTGACAGGTGAGGGAAAATTTGTTCTTACTTTATGAGGAGGAAAAAACCCACATGTGACCAAAGTTGGTGTTAGGGAAAAATTCAAACAGTATTATGGCATCGCACTACAGTTCTCAAGATCACCTTCCAGTGATTTCCATGGAAGCTAAACTTGAAAAAGCACTGCAAGCTGAAGTGAGGGAATTCTTGTACATACTAACTGCATGTTCATACTTGAGAATTTTTAAATCAACTTGGCTTACAGGATTTCTTATTATCAAAGCATTTTATTTTTCTTCTTAAAAGGAAAAGTAGCTCCATTTTCTTTTAAAAGGCTGTAGTCCATTTGCATTTGTGTGGCAAATTAATACTTTCAATAAAGTAAATATTCTCTAACAAAGCTTATTCAGTAAAGATGTGGGTTGTATAAGCTCTCTCCCTACTGGCAGCTCTATTTGTCCATAGTGCCAATGCTATCTAATACAGATCTGTACTGTATCTTTCTCATCAACAGAGCTATGAATGTTACACAGCCATTTTTCTCCAAACTGGATTAACACATCCGAAACCTTATCTTTTATTTGGGCGCAGAAATCAAATCAAGAAAAGTTGATGAGCTGAGCATATCCTCTATGAATATGCTCCTGATAGCACTCCTGATAGCAAGTATAAGTAAAAGGAGATGTTTTGTTCTGAGGTGGAAGCTTACACTGTTGAACAGTGTGATGTAACATTTCTCAGATCACAACAACAAACCACCACATAACCTAACGGAGAAATGAAATTGTTGCATCTTTGAAAGCAAACCCATTTTAGGATGTATATAGCCATAGAGTCTTTGAATACAGCCAATAACTGTCTCTAAAAGGTTTAAAATAGAAGCAAAGATCATTCCTGTCTCTTTTCCCTCTCCCTGCTTATAGTAGTCTTGTTTGTGCTGAGCATTAAAGGTGCTACATATGTTACTGAGTGCTAGGGAAATTCACTCAAGACTTTTTGATGGAGCCAAAAAAAAATTACTGAAAAATGCAAAGGCTGTTGGGTTTTGTTTTTTTTTTTTTTTGTTGGGCATTCTTAAATATAGCTTTGTCAAACATAAACCAAAATAACTGTAGATCCAGCTCTCCCTAAGTGCTAGAACAGAGAGCCTGTGCCCTTAGTACTTATTGGCTATGTTCAGGGAGAGCAAATAAATAACTGGGACACAGCTATGGGCCATATCCAGGGGGAGGTGCTGGCATGCACAGTACTAGGCTAGTACTGCAAGTACCATAGTACTGGTCATACCTCATTTATGCACTAAATCATGATGTTACAAGAGGGAAGCCAGAGAAGCCTGTGTATTGTTGTCTAGTGGCTCTGACTGCTTTAAGATAGGACTATTTGATAGAGCGAAAGCCATAACCTACATTTCCTTTCACCTTTGCTTGAATACCTGTTCATTAAGCTGCTCCCTCCCTTAATCCTTCCCATTTCCCACCCTCCACTCCCTGTCAACAGTTCATTTGTAACTCTGGGCAATGCTTGCCTAGCATTAGTGCTTTCTGCCTCGCTACAAGGTTTCCTCAGGTCTTTCATTTTGTGTTTTACCTTCCCAAAAGAAGGCTTAGCCTGAGAACCCAGAGAAAGCACCTATGAAAATTTAACTTTCTATGGCCTTCTGCTCTTCCAAAAGAGCACATGAGGGAAGGTTTGCCTGATCTGCAAATGCAGCACGTAACACATGAGATGATCCGCTTTCAAAGAAGGAGCTTACAAGTTTGCAACATTTCAGAAGCCGAGTGCCTGGAACTGCCTGCTTGGATGTGCCAGTGATACACTTCAGTCACTTGAGAAAAGCTAGGTTGAGGAACAAGGCCCTCAAATGATTCCACGGTAGACCAAATAGTCCTCAACACTGAAAGCTGAGTACCACTGAGTGGACAGTGATTAGAGATGATAATTTCAAGTAAAAAAAGGGGGAGAACTGCACCTGTTTCTGGGTGACTTGCCTCCTAATATTGTTTAGATTCATTACTGATATCACTAGAAATATTACAGTTAGGTTTTTTTTTTAATTAAAAAAAATTATCCAGGGATGCAGCACTTAGAGGAGTTTTAATGTTTCAGATAAGCATTACAACCTCTGAATTAACATTAGCATTTAAGTAATCAACTTAAATGAGATCTTCAGAGAACACACTCTGGTCAGATACCCTACTGTTTAAATTCCTAAAGAACCACATTCCCCTCATTTCCCGTAAATGTTTTCCTGTTCTTGTTCCCATCACCCTTTAAATACACAACCTACTTTTAATTCAGACACTTTGCCCAGATTACATTCTTCACTGGAGTCTCTGACAGAAATCATAAAGTATTCCAGAGCATATTGTTTGCTTTCACAGCAATACGTACAGTTTCTGGCATGCAGTCAAGCACTTAAAGAAAAAGAGGTATCAGTAATATAATCCCAATTCAAGCATTTAGTGGGTATAACTTCATCACTCATACTGCAACCTTCAGGCATTTAGTAATAAATGAAACCCTTTAGCACATCATTTAAAAAAAAAAAAAAAAGGAAAAGGCTAATTGCCAAGCCACAAAGTTTAAAAGTTTTCTGAAGCACTGCGAACTGAAAATTATTTAAATGTTTTACATTGTGGAATTTCAGTGAAATCAGATTTATTGGTTATTCTTGTTAAATTATTGGTCTTTTACCTCCGACTTATATTATCTTGGTATATTCTTTATAAATGTGCTGGGTATTGAAAATCTGCAGCATTTTGATGTTTGAAAAGTTCTGAAAAAAGACTTGAAATTACTCCGACTTCTTGTGTTCTTCAGCATGAGAGAGTACCTTTCGCCTCTGATGTAGCATATGAAAATACAGCTGAGGAAAGACTGAAGAGAAAACAGACTTAAGTAAAGTAAGAAGTGAGGCTTATGTATCAGTGTAAGATGTGCAGTCACATGCAGAAGGTCATCAATTCTCTATTAAAAGAAAACATGCTTATCTGCTTTTTGCTCAAGTTGTATATTGCCTTTTATTCTTTAAAGAGAATAAGTAGTACTGTCCTTAGGCTTCAGGTACTATTTAACTTTTGCTAGAGGAACTGCATTTTGAATTAAATGCAAAATGCCTTATTTAACTGTGCACGTACAAGCAGGATGACAAAAGTTTCCTGAACTGCACACACACAACAGAAAGAAAATACTTTTCAAAAGAATGAAATTTCCAGATTTGCTACATTTCTTTCAATTTTGATGACACTTTTTCAGGACTTAAGGAACTTTATACAAACCAGTGCCTCGTCCATCTCTTCTCTCCTTACCCTCCACACAAAGCTTTTTCCCCTCCTATTTCTAAGACTACATTACACAATATGTTTGCAGAATACGGTATGGAAAAGTTACATTTATAAACAGCAAAAGCTAAAATTGCCATGAGCCACTAAACTTTTGTGAACCACATAAAAATTAAGCAAGGTCAGCATTAGCCTAAATTTTATGTTACACATGCAAAATGTTAATCATAACATAAGTCAAATTCTATTTAATTTGTGTTTTGTTTTTTTTCAGGTCAACATTTTTTTCTTTTGGCTTTCTTTACCCTGTATTTGATTTCGTGATTGTTTTGTCCTTATCCTGATTCACTCCACTCATTTAATAAGCAAATACAGCTATCCAGAGACATAACAGAATACACAGCCACATGGTTTCTCCACTAGAAGTCTAAGTAATGGGGATGCATTATATGCAAATAATTTAATGACATCTTTTCTAGAAAAATATCAATTTTGACAGACACTAAATAAGTACTAATTCAGAGATATAAAGTGAGGTAAATGGTAAGATGCAAATATCTAGACTGTAAAAACCCCTCCACTTTTAACAACAGTTACCAAGATCTTCAGTAGGGTCACAGGGCATAACTCCTGTACAGGTAGCTTTTATGACTGAATAACTGAACTACAGTGTAATCAATGACTGCAATGGACACTTGCTTTTCGTGTATCTCAGGAATACCTTCAGATGAGAAGGCGCCTACGATCACTTAATTCCAAGCAGCTGGTTCTTGGAGTTCAGATACCAATTCACAATAATTAAAAAAATAATAAAAACAAAATAAATACTTCATTCAATGAACATTACATATCCAGCAAATTATAAAGGATCACAGAAAAGACCTCATTTAAGACATAGCAACTGTAATGGAGAAAGCAGGATGAAACGTACTTGGGTTCAAGGTGGGCTCCCCCCCCAAATGGCCTGTGATCTAACTATCACACAAGAGTAATTTATACTCATGGTTATTTTGACTAAAACAAAGTTCTGGCTGCCTGGTTAAGAACATCACCATTTTTGGAGGAGGGGGACAAGGAGAAACAAAGGCATGAAAAGTGCTTTTTCAAGAACAGATGGAAAAACTTAGGAACCTTGATGTCAGAATTACAATATGGTTCACTGAAAGTGTGAGTGCTTGTTATAGAGACAGACACCCTACTCAAATTTTTATCTTTGAATATGATTTATCATTCTTCACAGTGTTCACATGAAGACAGCTACAGATATAGCTAACAGCAGCAACATCATAACTACGTTATTCTACACGTTAGACTTTATTTGCACATTTAAATTTGCTAAACATTTCCATGTTCCTATTCTCCATTTCAAAGCAGCAAAGCCAAATCTTCATCCAATCTATAGAAACATCAACCAGGGATCATGTCAATTCAAGTTAATTCAACAGAAACAGTTCCCCGCCCACTAGTATGAAAAACAATGCTCCTCTTCCTGAAAAAGAACTGAATTTTAAGAAGCTGGTTTGAACTTTGTCCTCCTAAAAGTCTGGGGGGCGAATGATGTCAACATCTGCCAAAAAAGTACCACAGTAATTTTATATTCCAAGTGTAAGAGTAAAAACATGTATTACTGTTTTGCAGGTGTTGGTAGAAAAAAATCCTTGCGGTTTTAACTTTCTCTTTTTCCTTTAGATATCTTTCAGAATTAATTTTGAGAAATTAGTTACATGCATGTTAATCCCATAACTATTATTTTTTCCTGTTACAGCTCTTAATATTAAAAACCCTAACAAACTCATACTTACTTGGAATGTAGGAGATCATAACCAGGATAAGGAATGTATAGTAGTCAAAAGAAAAATTGTACTTGTTAGGTAAACTAATGGAATACAAGCCAGACTGCCTGACGAAGGGTAATGCAGCATATATTGTGAGTAACTCGCCTGAGACTCCCATTGGATACAATACGATAAACAAAGTGTACCTAGAACAAAACATTTATGAAAATGATTAAAAGTTATGACAACTTCTAACAAAGCACTTGCTAAATATTATGGATATTAAAATTTTAGATTCTCAACTCCCTTAGCTTTTATTTGACTGAAGTATGGCAAGGAATGAATGTTGTTGCAAGACAAGTATTCAAATCAGCAACTAGTTTCAATTACTTAAAGATCACCTTTGTGGATCTAAAAACTCCTCAAAACTACTGTCACCTACCCTCTCCTCCTCCCTCCTTACCCCCCTCCCCTTGTTACTCTGAATTTTAAACTCTTTGGTAGAGGTCATTATATTGCTTAAAATGAGGCCAAACGCAGTTGATACTAATCAATGAGCTTACAGATTGTTTCAAGTACAACCCTTGAATTCAAGGGTTACTGCTAAATGTCAATTTACTTATTGTTACCCCTAACTGTTAAATATCAGTTTTGACAATCACTTTGTAAACAGGGCAGAGTTCTGACAGTATATTCTTTCAGTTTACAGTGCAATACATACTTTTTTGTGCTGGAAAGAAGCTAGGAAGTCACATTCACAAACAAGGCAACTACCTCAAGGCAGAATCTAATTTTTATACTGCAACTATTTTACAAGACAAATATCCCTGTCAAATCAGTGCTTTAAGACTATGATTTCTATTATGCCACCTACCTGGCCCATTTGATGAGATAAGGGAGATGGTTTAATAAGCTAAACGTATAAAAAGAGTAACGGATTATCTCAGTGATTGTCCAGGCCACTACAAACAACAGGACACTATCTTCAGTTTGTACCTGTAAAAAAGGAAAAAAGCTCAGTACGAATTAAAGTATTACTAATTACTCACCAGACCCAAGAAAACCTCAAAGAAATCAATTCCCATGGGTTGCTTTACTGCATCATTTTAGATAACAGACTCCAAGAATGAGCTTAAAAGCAACATTAGTAACAACAGTTAAAAACCCTTATCATGCTCCATCTTCTTCTAGTTGCTTAAGAATAGCTCTGCCTGGTGATCAGATAACTTAAGATCTCCCATTCTGTGCAAGTTAAATCAGTATAAGAAAACCCTGAAATGCTGAGAACAACTCAAACCTCTTCTTATTACTATGTAGTACCAACTTCTACTTCAGTCCCTTCTTAATGCAGCAAGAAGAAAGGATGCTAACACATTACTCTAACACTTGATACCTATATTCTGATCCTAGTCCATGCTACTTCTGAGCAAAAGCACTCTACAGATGAGAAACTGGTCCTAATTTTGAGCAGCAGCAGAACACCACCAGGACACAGGCTAGGAAGAGAGAAAAAGCAGAAGTTCAGACTGTCACACCTTGGATAAGCTTTGCAACCACCTGCTTCACTACCCCTTGCTCCTTTTCTGCATATTATATCCAGCCTAATTCCTCTAATGTTACACTCAAGGTGTTACTATGTTTCATTGCTTTACACCTCTTAGAGCTTTTATTTCAGACACACATCACTGAACTAGCTTTTACTCCCTTCATATTTTGAAGGGTAACCTTCAAAAGATGCATTCTGAAATTTATTATTAGATTTATTAGACTTGGGAGCATAATTACGAGTTTAAGTTTCAGACGGAATAGCAGTGATGAAGTAGTCTATAGGGTCACATACGCGCACTACAAATTATTAAGAGTAAACATGATTTTTATGCAGCCTTTTGCTTCCTTCCCTCCTTTTCAACAGTATTCTTAACTGTGCAAATACTTTGCGCCCAAATTCAGAGGACTGTGGGAAAAAAAGAGCTCAGCCACAGGGCCCACTTTTTTTTTTTCCCTCCAACCCTTGAAAAAAGGAAAAAGGAAGTCAGCAGGTGTGGGTGGTACACTCTATTCATCTTGGGAAAAGTACACGTACAAACCAAAAAAGGAGCAACTATAAAGGCAATCAGAAATCTTTTAATAGGAAGGAACTGACCATGCATTTGTGTGTAAAAACACTCATGAGAATTACCCATAAAAATGTTTCTGTTACAAACTACAAAATCTAGAAATATTTATAAATCTTGGGATATCCTGGACTGTACAGCCGTTGTTAATCTACATTCTGCTGCGTACAGCATTTCAAGTCACTTTCACTGCACTTCACAGCAAATGCACCTTGTTCTTTTTCCACAGGAAACTCTGATAGTTTGCTTATATATTGATCTCCCTTGTGTCATCATAACAGAACAAAATCCAAAACTTACTTGAACACTTTCAAAAAAGAAACCAAATCTATTTTTACACTGCTACAGGATCTTAATCCTGTTTGGGGTCTGCTTCATAAGCAAGACTTAGTTCTCAACCTGGAAAAGTTAACAGCACTTCACAGATGTTTCTCATCTCAAGGAGTGCTTCACAAGCACTCCAGAGCTGCATCTTCTGGTCAAATCAGGAGTAGCAGCTTAGTCAGTTCATCTAAATGTATGAGTCACAAACTTCACTGTACTTCGAAACCACACTTTCCCTATCTACAGAAGTCAGTAAAACCAACAACCAAAAATTTGTAGCTTCAAGTAGCACCCGAGGATATAAGCAAGGACAAGAAACTGTGAAGGTGACAGTGAATGATACCCATAGAAACAGAAAATCTGGCAGTTAGAATCCAGTTCTATCACAGGGCTTCTGTAACACTGCCTTCACAAGTTTAGAAGTTATTAAAACAGTTCACACCATTATAAAACATCTACAACTCTGTTAAAGTCCCTTAAAGAATCATTGATTGTGCTTTTATAGCTTGTGTCCCTATTTAAAGGAGGAAAGGATACTGGAAAACAGCAGTAGTTTTCATTCCTATACAATTTTCAAATAGTTCCATTCTGTGCAGTAAGGAACAGAAGACTACTGTGCATTTTATCACCACATTTTACCTATATTCTACAGCTCATCATTAAAAAGAACGATTCTTACGAACTAACAGACCTGTCAGAAGTCTGTCACTATTAGAACACCTCTTTGAAGACTGAAAATCTTTCAATACATCAAATAAAGATGTCCAAGATGCACATTATCAAACCCCTGGGAACTCATACACAAAGCAGTCTCTCAAGAGTCTTATTCATTTAGGCACTACCAATGCTGCATTTGTATTGTTCTTGTGAGCTGAGGATAAGGGGACAGTACAGCTCAGAAACAGCTACGTACAGCTTAATAAACCACTAAGCCCACTTCTGCCCTCAGAACTCAATTTCTCTTCCTCTACTTTTTCATGCTAGTCTTTGAAGGAGGTGTTGGACAAAGTCAAAACATATTTTATGCTTTATCTGCAATTTATTTGTCCAACTGTCTTAATATGCCAGTCATACAATGAGCATATTTTTTGGCCTATGTTTCAAACCAGTTTATCATCAAGGAGGGTTCTAAATATAGCTTAGCTTATCTTCAGTATTATGAATAGCACAAAATGTTTGTTAAAACACAAGAGAACCCACAGCCTTTTAAGATGCAAAGATGACAATTGGGAATTGATGAAATAAAACCCAGGAGGTTTTTACTGTTCTCCTTATGCACAGAAAGGGAAATTCTATAGATTTCTCCACATTAAGAGTAACAGTTTGACAAATTATTTGCAAAAAAATTTCAGCTAAACAAATAACTAAGCAATCCAGTGCAGAAGAGTAAAACCAGCAACACTATGCAACTATAATGATGAAACAGAATGTCCAGAGAGAAAGCTTCACAGAAGGCACAAAGGCCCTAACAGACATTTGTGTTACACAGAATTACTAAAATTTTACATAGATGTAAAGCAGTGATGAATCAGGCTTTTCAACTGCACTCGCCCATTTAGAGTTCTGAACTTTGCAGCTTGGGCTTCTCTTACTACAACTTAAGTCTTAGCTATCATAATTTAAGATGTTCTTCCCCTTTTAACATGCTTTGTTACTGACTGAAGATGTCAATTCACAACTGCAGATACCAGAGTCTTAATTACCAGCTCAATATACTGTATATGTCATCTTCACACCACTCTCTCTGCATGTTCTAGAAAGGTTCCTCTAAATACATACTATACTTATCTGCAATATATCTATAACTGAACCCAAGTGGACAAGCAGTAAATCACTGCTGACATAATTTTTAATTACCCACCAGAACTGGGTGCAGAATTATCTATCAGAATGGAACTCTAGGAAGGCCTGATGATCTCATTGTTTACCCAAATTCAGAAAGACAACTTCAAACTGAAGGGCACCTCGTGTTGTCCTCTGCCTACTTTCTTCTAGCCCTTCACACCAAACTGCTCATTCTCTTTCCTCCTTTGTAGGAGAAACAGCAAAACTCACCAAACTGACTCCTTTCTGACGTAATGACAAAACAAATGCAAGTACTGTATTACATGCCAGGCCAGGCCCTCCACCACTAAGCTAACAGCTACTCATGATGGAGTTAAGGGGAATCTCGTTGCTACTCAAAGTGTGCAGTGCTTTAACATTTGCCATGCTTTAACATTTATTATAAATACTTTCGTATTGAATTTAACAACACATCAGCACTAAATTCAACAAAACGCACAAACATGTTAGTAGCAAGAAGCATGCTTCAAATCACATCACATATCCAGAAGTGTATTCTGACAGAAAGGAGAGATGCAATACACGTTTCTTCTTTTAACTGTATTATATATGAAAACAGTCTGGAAAAGCAAGATACTGAACAAGTCTCACTCAAAAAGTTAAAGAGGATAACTGAGTTTTATTTTACAAGAACCTCATCATGCAACTGCATAGCTTACAAGTTCCATAAAGCTGTGTGAGAATTTAATCCTGGACTTCACCATGGAGCTCACTTGTGCAGACAGCCCTTTAGAAAAAGTAGAACACTTGTGACACTTTCAATACAACTCTACAGGTGAGACTGTGTGCTCTCTGGCTGGGGGGGGAAGGGGAGAGGTTAGAATACAACCTCTTAATTTGATTTATTTTCTAAGTCACAGGTGAAAAACTCATCACAGGATTCCTCATCCTTACCATTCTTACGGCTACTTTCTAAGACATTAATAAAAATAAGACATAATCACAAGACTTTAGCTACAAGACTACACAGACGCGAGGAAAAAAAAAACCACCCTATGTGTAATATTGTTGAAAGAATCCTTGTTAAAAAAGTCCTTGCTTGCTAAACACTGAATATTGGGCTGAACTTGTTGCTCACATTTTCTCCCATTTTGCTGGTTTTCTCCAGTGAGAGTGTGGACATGAAGTTTCAAAAAACCCTAATCAACAATAATTTTACAGACTTGCCTTTGATGCCTAACAGACAACACAGGGAATAATCCTAATCCATGCAATCCAACCTTGAACACTTGGGTTACTTCAAAAGCAGGAGGCAATTCATAAGAAACAGATTACCACTGTTCATTACGAAGCACCAAGTACCCCAGCTTCATACAGGTAACAAGCAAAATGACAGGCATAGCTCTTTAAAAATTATTTTATGCATGTATCTTAAAATCTGTTTTGGGATTACATGGTGGGTTTTTTTTGGTCAAAATCTAATATTTATCTCTAGTAAATTAACAGAGGCTGGAGTACATTTATTTGCAGCAAAAGTGAAATCCATCAGAAGGTATTTCCAAGATTTTGGTGTGGTTTTTTTTTGTTTCTGTTTTTTTTTTGTTTTGTTTTTTTTTTTTTTTTAATAACATTCCTCCGCTTTAGTGTTAAACTATGGCTCCACAAGAACAAGCATCATAATATCAGAATGGGCTGTCAATTACTAGGAGCTACAGTGACTTATGTTACTCTACATGTGGATGGAAACTGATAACAGAGGAAGGAGTAAGGAAAAGAGAGCAGCTTCCCTGAAGACTTGGTAATAAGACAAGCTCCTTAAGACATTCTTCATGTCAAGTCACAAAAGATCTCATGCATGTGACACTAGAAGACCATCTTTTACTTCAGGCAGATATGCCGACACTGGCATCAAGACTGACTTCCCTCTTTAATAAGAAGAAAACCAGTAAAATTGGTTGGCTAAAGTAACACCACACATGCAGCATATCTGGGCTACTACAAGGTATTCAGATGACATGAAAGACCCAGCATCAGTTGTATCAATTAAAGCATGTTCAGATTTTAAAACAGCTGTTACGAATACTTTCCAAATAAGACAGCTTCCAAAAGATTCTGCAAAGGTTTGTATAAAATAGAGCAATGAGAAAAAATTCACAGGCCCAAAACCCCACCTGTGCTTGAATGCAAGAAAAATGAATGAAGGACAAGGGGAAGATTTTCCTGGAGAGTGGTAACAGAGAACATCCAGGCACTGCTGTGCACAAACAGCTGAGGAAGAGCTCCCATGTGCCATGGTAAAGAAAGCAAATTGTGCATGAAAGAGAGGGGCAATGAGGAGATTTTACTAATTATGGCACTGGTGAGATCAATACTAGAACACTGTCCTCAGTTCTGGGTTATGTATTACACACTGCAACCTCTCTAACTTTCAGTAAGCACTGCAAAACCTATTCAGGAGCTAGATGTCTTATGGTGAGCACATCAGACCTCAATCTATTTGACTGTCAATAAAAGATTATGGCAGATCTATTTCTTTTCATCCTCAAAAAGTCACATAAATTTCACATGTTGGGATACAAACATGTCATTTTAAAGAAAAAGAGAGCAACACTTGCTTTTTAGAATGGGTTATTAGTTTTTCTACCTATTTTGTAGCTTAACTTACCTCTTTCACACTATGTGTTACTGCCCACGTCAGGAAAACTCTTGACATCACTTGGAAAGCAGTCAGAACAACAGAAGAGGGAACAATGCCTGGAAGATATTTTGCAATTAGTAAATATTTCTGACTACTGGGGTGGGGAAATAAACCACAGCTAAGCCAAAGTCCAGTTATTTTAATTTCTTTGGAAGGAAAGCATTCATTTTTTTCAATTTGAGAGTATGAAGTCTGTCCTGTTACACTACATTAGGCTGCAAAAACATGTAACTGACAAGACTTTGTGCATCAAAATGCAAATAAAACTAAGCAGCCTTCAATCACAGCACATTCCTTAATACACAAAACAGCTGAATGAGATAACCTCAACCAAACAGCCTTGCTGTACAGTCTTTCAAATAAACCCTTTTTCACTGAACTATCCAAGATATTTTTTTATTATTATGATTTAAAGAATAAAAATAAAGATATTCTGCACAATACAACCCTCAAAACAGCAAGCAAAAGTTAGAACTATTTTGAAGGAACACTGATGCAGCTCATAGCCTGATAAAGTTCACAATTCCTTCTTAGGAATATAACTTAAGAAAAAAATAATCAACAAACAAACAAACAAAACCAAACCCAAACCAAACCCCAAGGAATAGCTGATGTGTTGTAGACACAGAAGAAATTTTAAGATTTTCTCAAGGAAGCAGATTTCACTGGTTCTTCTAAGTTCTGAGGTGCTGATTAAACTGATACTAAAAGGATCCTATACGTCCAGGTCTTCTAACATTCACAGCATAAAGTTTTATTTTCTTGTAATAGCATGTAATAGCATGTAAAACACAAAAGCAGATGCAGCTCCCAAAATACAGTAAAAGTGCTTCTATAATGCAAATCACAGCAAGCAACACAACAACCTCAGGAAGAAGTAAAGACAAAATTGGAAAGTAGAAGAGGAAGAAAGAAGAAGAAAAGCTAAAAGCAAGTTTCATTATTGTTAGTCACGCAGTCATTATGTTAATCTTTTAGAATAAAAGGTAGAGTAGCATTAAAAGTTGCTGAGGGCTACTCTGCAGGAAAAATCCTACACACAGTTCTCTTTGGTTTCATCACGAATTGTTCATAATCTAATTTCTGTTGTAAAACCTCAGGGCAGAACTGTTGTCTGTTACTTGGACAACGTGAAAAAGGGTGCTATTAAAACCTCACAATCTGTACACAAAGGCTCACTCCTATGATAAAACAGACCTTTCCTTTTATACAATTTAGATCATTCCTCCCTATGCAAGATAACCTAATGTTCTTGCAAAGGAATCTACAAATAAGCCAGAAAGACTGTGTATGAACCATCTAAGATTATCTCACAAGTTAGACACATAGGGGTTTTCATTATAGCCAAGACAATGCTCATCTATGCCAAAACCAGGAGATCAAAATAAGTGACTCATCAGCTGCAATTTAAATAAACATTACTTGCCTCTAATTATTTATTTACTGAAGTGAAAAGCTACCTGACAGTCAATTTTAAGCTTGGCATTTTAAAAACGCCTGTCACCACTTACACAACACTTCACATGCTAGAGCAGTACTTGACAGAGGGTTCAGGTCCAGAACCAAGCACCAGGTAAGCCATACCCAGACCTCTCCCAGACCCTGGACTACACCATCCAGAGGAGATCCTTCCAACTCCCAGCAAGCGCTTCCTCTCTTCCATGGAGTTCTCGCTGAGAATAGGCTGTATGCATAGCTTACAGGTAGAAGCCTGGTATCCTCCTAACTGAGCAGACTAACGTAAAGTCCACTAGTGCTGACTTTGGCTTACCAGAGGGTTATTGGTGAGCACTGCTATGGGAGGAACGCTGGTACTGTAGCAGTTCAGTAGGCTGGGCCTCTACTCACCAAAGCCTTCCTGCTTTTCTTTATTACTTTTGCAAAATCCCTGTACTACTACTATTGCTTCCACATTCTGGCAGCTCCTACCACCTTTTTTTCCAAATCAAGCTCCTTCAGGGAGAAGCTCTTCCATGCTGTCAATGCCATGCATACTCTTGGGTTCTGCCTGCTACACAAGTCAAGGAATTGCACAGTCACTTTCCATTTGCTTGTTTTTCAGTGTCTCCTCTTGGTCTCTGGGCTACATGTTACCTCCTCTCTTACTGTAGAGCTCTCCATTTTTTAAATCTTTGCCACATGCCAAAGTTCTGTTCTCAGTTGTGCTTGATAGATATATTCCCCTATCAATCTTTGTATTTTGAAGAACTTGCCTCACAGATGCTAACATTTCAGATTCCACTCAAAAGATGTGGAGAGAAAAGTTATGCTGATACACACAGCCATCTGTCACATATAAGCTCCTCTACTCGCAGAGAATTACAGCTCTAGTTACAGCAATTAGTGTAGTGGGGGCAAAAGAATCTGCAAATTTCCTGTTTCTCCTTGCACAGAAACTTTTACCGGAGTCAGTAGAACTACAGCAGACAGTGGCAGCATATCCAGCTGTGCAAAACCCCCCTCACTTTATTTAGCTGACAAATACTTCCATTAACAGAAAAAAAATAAATCTATGGGCAATTATAACAAGTGGGGATTTTGTAAAAAACTTTGTTAGGGAAAGCAAAAAGATAGAATTATAATGGTATGAAATGCTACAACATTCCACTAATGGCTCTCTTCACCAGTACTAAATTGTGCAACTGAGGATAACAGGGCTAAATGGATCCACACCTCAAATCAAGCGAGCCAGAATTATTGGCTTTGCACACAGCCAGGCTGCTACAGTCATCTTGTCTGCTGTTCTGCCCCTGCCTGGAAGGTGAAACACAGGATTCTCCCTGACTGGTGTGGACATATATTCTAATGTGTGAGAAAAAGATAATTCAACCACATTTTTACACTCTTTCTTAGATTTCATTGAAAAATTAGCAAACACTGGCATGTGCAGACAAGTTTAGAAAACAGTGGAATATTATAGATTCAGGATGGTAAAATAGCATTTTATCTGAAAGTGATAAATTGTCATTCTTGTCACTTGTTTAAATAAGATTTCTAAACTTTCACGTTATTATTGATTTTTGAGAATTTTTTAATGTAATTATGGTTTATTCTGGTAAAAAAACAGTGATTAGCATTCAGCAAAATAAACTGGTATAGAAAGGACTGCCTTGGCAGCACAGGCAACATATAGTGTACTCAGAAGACTTTACATCAGTTTGAAGGGTCATTCATTGATCATTCATTTCTTGAGATGATCTGTGAACAGTCTACTGGCTGCCCTTTATAAGATAACATTTTCAGAATAACTTAATTATTCAGGAAGGTCAGCACTACTCTATCGAATAAAGAATTAGACTGCCCTCTGCTGACAAAGGTATGTATATAAACTTAAGTTTTCCAGCTAACACATTTGGTTATTCAACAACAACAAAATCTTTTGCACAGAAATTCAATATGAACCAGCAATCTATTATACCCTCCAGTATGTAAATTATCTGCACAACACAGCAAGTTTATAGCTGCAGCTTTAGGAATCTTAATGCCATCTTACTCTTTAAACGGTGGCTAGCAAGCATTCAGGTAGGAGCTCAAACACACTTAAAATCACAATACCAACTACTTAAACATAAGACTGTCTCTTTGTGAAGACTGAATTGTTTACAAAAATCAGAGTTAAGCAAAGGTAAGCAGACAGGCAGTGCTCCCTTTCATAGCACACCGGCTTTGATCTTGCAGAAACTGCGACACATCATCCGTTCTGTGAATAAAACATGCAAATGCTGTGGCCAAACTGTTCACTACTCACAACAACTAACCAGACAGTCCTGTCACTCAGACATCAGAGGCTCTTCAGGATGACTGAACCATAACACTGCTACTCACCCATGGCTACACACACACAATTGAGTTCCTACTACCAAGCTGTCAAAGAAGTCTCACAGTACAGGCTATCAAGAAACGTCTAGTCAAGCCTTAAGTTCTCCCAAACAGTTCCATTAAAGCACAGCCAAATCCAGGATAAAGAGTGGTTACCCCTTCCTAATTTTACAACTTACATCTATGCTCTAGAGATGTGAGCAAAGTTACATGCTTGAAGTGTTATTTTTATCGGATTTTAAATTAGTTTCAGCTAGAAATATTTCTTGAAGGAAAGACAGCTCGGTACACAAGATTATAGGATGTAGAGACTGAGAGTAATGATCTACTATAAAACATTTATAAACTGCTCTAAGATTTGTAGCATTGGAAGGATCTAGATAAAAATAGAATATCAAGTAATTGAAAACCCGCTACACTATTTTCCTTCTTCTGATGTAACTTGTCAAATTATTTAGGAAAAAATTGGAATGTACTTCAAGCAAAAAATTAGTAAGTTATGCAAGAATGAAATCTGGCAATTCATAGATCATAACATTTTTTGTACTAATACACTGCTAAAACTGCAGTCTTCTATAAAAACAATAAAACTGAAAATTTATAAGCTTACCAAACGCACAGTGCAGAATCTAGAACAAAAAGAAAAAAAACAAATCACTAACATTTCAAATGAAGCAATTCAGAAACATACTTAGTTCTACCACGAGAGCTTAAGATTCAATATTTGTATTTCAAAGACTGAACTTAATATTTAGCTCTGCTGCTCAAGCTAAATAGCAGGCAGCAAGTTCCCCGATTGTTAAAAGGAAAAACTCAGCACTTGTGTGAAGGCATTCTTCTTACATTTACCTTCAGAACACTCTATAAACATGCTGCTCAACAAAGACTACCTTATTTCTACAAAACAAAACACCCATGCAAGTATCAGTAATGCTAGGGAAGAAGACTACACCTACCTCAAGCAAAGCTCCAGTTTGGAAGAATTTCAGGGGCTTTTCTATTGAATAGTAAAGGCTATGGTAGCTACCTTTAGCCAGGTATGCTCGAACTAGACCAACTGCAATAACAAGCCATCTGAAAGAGAGAAAGAAGCTTAAGATAAGGAGACATTAAGCAAGAGCATAAATACAAAGAAAGCTTTAACCCCTCTTTTGATACGGGAGGAAGCAACAGGCACAGAAAGATACTTTCTCCTGACCCATGCAACACAAAAAACATTAAATATTTGGATTCTCTGCAGATTTATCAAAGTTAAAGATTACACATTTTTTAAGCATTGTTCAGCACCAACACGATACCATTATCTTTAATGTCTAAGTTCATTTTTTTATAAGCTGCATTTAATTTAGTTATGGAAGTTTAAATAAGATAGGCATCATATTTTGTTTAGTTTAGAGTTGAAAATCATTTGCTGCTAGTCAAAGATCTCTTACCATACCATATGTTAAAAAAGTATGACATAAACAATTAAGATCCAGAAGGCAATAATTTTAATGCTTCAGTTCAAAATAAACCCTCAGACTTTATGGTAGACCATCCAGCTTAATTGCTAGCATATATTTTATGAGAAACAGCTATGGGTAAGTAACTGAGAAAACTGAGCCTGCTAAAGCCTTGAAGGCAGCAATGACCATTCCTGTCCCAGCTCTCCTGTTAAGCAACAAATATACCTCGGCTGGCAGAAGTAGTGCCTATGAAACCGCAGCTATACCATAAACCTGTGACCTGCTAACCCTGATGATTTTCCCCTCAGGCACTTTAGGAAGCAATCCTAAAAATTCTTCCTCCAGTCCTGGCAATACAGTAACGTCTTTCACTACCACAGCTGTCCACAGCCTCAGGAATTCTTCAGTGAAGTCTAGGACAAACTACAAAACTAAGGTGAGCACACCCTGGTCAAACACTTTTTCACTTGAACGTAGCATCTACAGTCAACTTTAGTTTCCAATTGCCTGTGGCAATGGAAATAAGGGGAGAAGGATTTGGTCAGCAAGTAGGAATCCTTACCAGCAGCTCCCAGACTTTTCACTGACAGGCTCATCCTGGCTGTCCTCCCTTCAGATACTCTTAATGCCACCCTACTTTACCACCACCTCCCTCCAAACCCAGAAGTGTTGTTACAAAGCTTGTGGTAACAGTCACCAAGCATCTCTGCTAATAACAGTGCAGCTCAGTGGAAGTGTGTGTATACATGTAGAAAGTCCATAACTATGCAATACCTTTTTACGCTTCAGAAAAAAAAATCCGCAGCTGTGGTTTTGCAACAGGGAAGATGAAGAAACTCCCTTAATTTATGGCATGTTAGATGCTTACATGTACCACGTTAGCTTAGGTATTATGAAGTATATAGCAACACTGTCCCAAGTGTAGTAATTGTTTGAAATACACTGTGAAATTCAGCTTTTCCAGTAGTAAATAACTCTGGCATCCAAACCTGTGTTTGTAACATTTGTTAGTACAACTGAAAAAATGTCATTTCATTTTTACCTGGACTTCTCAGAAGAAAAGCACCAAACAAAAGCAGCAGGACTGGCAAAGAGAAATACGGAACAAGAAAGAAGCCCCCCATTTTTTCAGAAGTGACAAGTTATTGCAGTTAAAGCTGCCTTGTGAAACCCAAAGACAAACATTTGCCAAGTAACTGCTGTTTACAAAGAAAGAATGAGATTAATTTTGTATTCGGACTTCAGCACAGAATAAACCAGTAAGGTTGCCACTGTCCTGTTCGTAGCTGTCTGTTTTGACTAACCTTCCATGTTTGTTGAGAAACTTTGCTGAATTAAGCAACTTCTCAGATTCCACAAGATACCAGTTCTCAGTTGTGCCTGCAAACTGTTCTCACCTTAACCAAAGGATTGGTAAAGTAAGTGGCTCCAGGAGGACCTACAGCCCCTTGCTCAACTCCACTCCCCCTGATGGGTCACTGACTTCAGAAAGACTGTACATTCCATTCCATTTACTGTCCTTCAAAAAGGATTTAATACAGGTCAAAGTATTAATGTGCACAAAATGAAAAGATGTGCCTAGTTTTTGTTGAATCTTTTAGCACCTCTGTCCTGCTTTGGTGATTCTTAAATAGTTCTTCACCCTCTACAACTAGAGAGAATGGAACAGGAGTAGGTGAAAGCAAGGAAGATCAACTGAAAAAGAAACTTGGTGAGAAGTTTAAAAGGGCAGGAAAAGGCACTACTGTCAAGTGGAAGTTTAGCTGTAAGTTAGGTTTTCCAGTTTTCTCTGTCCCACAGCTAAAGTCTACCTGATACACCAGCTGGAGTTGCATTTCATTAAATTACCATTGCCATGTAAACTTTAAGCTAGACTCTTACACTCTTACTCAATGAATCCAAACTAAGAAAAATTATTATTTTTTTTTTTTCTTCATTGCTCAGTCTTGATAGAAAAACTTCATGCTCAGGTCCTTAGTTTAATTCCTTTTATTTCTCTTACAAGTGATTTCTTATGTAAAGTTTACTGAGGTTCTGCATCATTTATGCAAGAAAATACAATAAAGCTATGCACTGAACACACCTGAAAAGGGAAAAATGTACTGTGACTCTCAACAAGCAGTCACTGAAGACTTAGTGAAACCCAGAACACTTTGCTCAACACTTGTACCACAAACCCTTGCAGATTCAAAGGCTACTACATTAAGATCCATCTTGTTAAGAGAAACACTTCTGAAATTCATTCTTTGTACCACCATTAGCTACTTCCACCCATTATGTACTAGTCAGTTACAGCCCTTAACTAAAACTAAGAAACACAACTGCATTTTAAAGCAGATTACCAAAACATTTATACTCAGCTAACAGCATGTGTCCCCCTCTCTGCCTTCTCCATTATTCACTGATTTTGGTCAACCATGGTTTTTAGGTAATAATTTCTATGCTGCAGCTATGCCTCCAGAATGAGCTTCCTATGCCAGGGCAGGCATGACTACATGACTTCATGCTGTCACAGGAAAATAACAGTCTGAATGCAAGGGAAGAAAGCTGCAATGCTTTCTCCAGCTTAACGCTTGGAACCATGGTTGAAAAAACGTGAGCGAGTACAGCTGAGAACTAACAGAAGGACTGGTCACTCCCATTGTATCACAGTGGTCCCTTTTCTGAAAGAAAACGCCCACACCATGCAAACAAAACAGTAAGTGCATGCCGCCTCATTTAGGCATCCACAGGTATATATGCTTTTCCCAGTGTTTTACTCTTTCAAAAGCCGTTGTATTACTAGGAATCCATATACTACCTCCACTGCAGTATAAAATTAGGAATAAGATCTAGTATTTTTAGAATCAGTATGTTTTCTTTAGCTAAGTCAAGATAAATGCCAGGTAAATACAATAATTATGCTGAGATTTTTCAATTGTTACTTGATCCATTTTAAATAAATAATAGATAAGGCAACTATGATTCTAAAGCATTTACTTTAATACCTATTTATTGCATCACAAAGTTGTGAGTTTCAGTTTAAAAGCCACCTTTTCGTAAAAGAATATGAAACAAACCCACTTTAAAAGAAGGAAAACCCCATGTGCTTTTAAAGCTTCACTTCATCATTTGGGCACCTTCAGTTTTCTTTCCAAGGCAGCGCTATCTGAGAAACCGAGTCAGCACTCTGATTGACTCAGGGAAAGTCATCACTGCCACCAGCTGCGTATCAAGTCTTTTCATATGGACAACGGAGCTTCAGAACTCCTGAAAAACTACCTTATGAAGTCTTTTACAAAAGAACTAAATTCAGTGTTGTGTATTGTTGAATTTCAGTAGTGTGCAGGGGAAGCACAAAATCCTCATCCATTTGAAGATAAATTATCAGTGACCTACCCTAAATGCCCATAAAAAAACAGCAACTCACATTAAAGCACCATAAGCCACATCCCACCCAAGACTGGAATTTTCCAGGAGATTCAATATAAATCAGAAAAATAGGTAACATTATGATCCAGTTTTACATGACAAGAAGCAGCTAAGTACAGATTTACGCTATTTATTTCTGAGTTTCTAATACCTGAATTGGCTTTAATTTTTTTCAAACTGGTGGGTAATTATCATTCCCCTCCGCATGAAATACCCTGCAAACATCACACAAAGCCTGAAGGCTGCTTAGCAGTTCCATTGCGCAGGAATATACCTATTGGCCAATAGTATAATGAGCACATTACCAAAACCCAGCTGTCCCCTCCCAGCTACCCTTTGTTCTACTTGAGTGTAACTATCCTGTAAACTGACATAGTACCAGCTGTCACCAGCAAAGATATCATGGCAAATTACCTTATTAAAATAAATTTTATCTATATTAATTCTTTACTACTCTTCCCCCAAAATAGTAAGCCTCTTCTGTTCGCCTGACTCCTTGCCTGCCAGGATTTATCTAGTGGAAAACAGGTTTATTCGTGATCCACTTTAAAGCCTCTTTTCTCAAATATCCTCAATCTTTCAAAGGATGGTTTTATTTTTATCTGGATTCCAATACAGCCTCAAAAAAAAAAAAAAAAAAAGAAAAAAGTCAAAAACAAAAAAGTCTCCTAAGTTTCCTTTATCTTGAGAGTCCCCACTTGACTCTATTTTTTATTTTTGTGCCTAAGAACAGACCAGAGCACACACCAACGGCCCCAAGTCTCCATTTCACCATGGGGCAAGAGCAAAGCATCAGGCAGGCCTCGGAGTTCACATGTCACGGGCAGTAGCTTTCACCTTCAACCTAAGTATGTGGCAGATGAAGGGTTCATGGGGCAATCTCACAGGGCTCTAAAGGATAACTGCTCTGCTTTCTGAACTACCACGGTGGATAAATCCCTGTGTTTAGGCCCACCTCTGTACTGAAAAGTGCTGGAATCCACACCACAGGCATGGTGAGGCCAGAACAGCGATCTACACAATCACCTAGATGAGCAAACTGTTGCAGAGGAAATTAAGGTGTCAATTATAAAACGCAGCAGTTCCCAGAGAACACGCACTTGCTCTGCTCCACTTAAGGCGACCTGGAAGGGGCGCAAGAAGGATATGCCGCAGACGGACTCGGCCAGCGCGGAGTGGGCTCACACCCAGCACGGGCAGGGCAGGGGCAGCACCAGGGCCATGCTGCGGGGTAACTCACCGACACCCCCGGGGTATCGTTATAGCGTGTGACAGAGAGAAACGCGAAAGCAAGCACAGCAGCCTTACATACCGGAGGAGACCAGGCACCCCCCTACAACATGAGAAGGGGGGAGAGAGATCCTTAGTCGTGCTCTTTGAGAATTACAGACAGCTAAGGTGTGACGGGTAACAGCACGAGGGAGCACTCGGGCTGCGCACCGTATGGGAGAACGGGGCAGACAAGAGAGGCAAAGCCACAGAGAAACCGATCAGTTCGGCTAGTCCAGCTCCTCGAGCCGCAGCGGGGCTCCTTTCCCAGCCAGCCCCGGCCGCCAGCCCGACCCTCACCACGGCGGGCACGCACACGCGTCCATGAACGCACACGCGTCCATGCACACACAGACGCGTACACGCACACACACGCGTCCATGCACACACAGACGCGTACACGCACACACACGCGTCCATGCACACACAGACGCGTACACGCATACACAGCCGCAGCCCGTCTGAGCCGAGATCCCCGAGCCGCAGGCTCCCTCCGGCAGCCGTCTGGGCACAGCGCGGAGAGCCGCCCTCGGGGGTCGCCGCTTCCGACGGGACGGGCCCCGCCGAGCCCTGGCCTGCCGCCTCCCTGCCCCGTGAGGCAGGAAAAGTTTCCCCCATGGAAGGGAAGGCGGCGGCCTCAGGAGACGGACGGGGCGCGGAGAAGGGCGCAGGCGGCTGGAGCGCCCCTGCCAGAGACCCCCGGCAATCGGCCGCACCGGGTGGCCCCTGCACACGTCCTTACCCCGCCGTCATCACCACGTTGTAGATAACGAGGTAGGCCGTGGCCAGGGCACCCGGACCCTTCCTCCGCCGTGGCTGCTGGCTGCTGTAGCCGTTATCCACCCGGCTGCCACCACTGCCAGACGCCGCCATGTTACAGTGCTCCTGCGGCCTCCGCCCGCTCTCAGCGTACGGCAGCGCCGCCGGGCGGGGCGGGGCTTCCCCAGTTTCTGCCGCAGACACCATCTTGGAGGCGGGCAGGACGCTCCGCGCAGCTGTTAGACTCCGCCCCCGGCATCGGGAAGGGAGCTCAGGGGGGTGCAGGTGAGGCAGCCGCCCTCAGCGCGATTGGGATCGGATTAGGAGGAAGTGTCGCATTCTCACAGCCGGCCCGGGGGCTCTCTGGGCCGCAGCCGGGTCTTCTGGTTCCCGCAGAATGGAGCTCGGTGTCGCTCGTCGTGCCCGCCCGGTAGGACTCTGTGGTGAGGCCGGCGATAAACGGCCTTTGCGGTCGCGTTTTAGAGCAGGTTGAAAGTGCCCCTCGGCGGGCTGACTGCTGCAGGCATACGGCTGTCACGTCCTTAGAGAACTGAGTAGCGTTAGCTGTCTAAGGTTACTTTAGGAATGCTCGCTGGGTTTTCATCACTTCTACAGTTGAGTAAACTGCTGAAGCCGAGTGCAGCTGGGGCTGTAACGTGCGTTCTGCTGAAGTTCCATGTAATGGCAAAAGCCTGGGTAGAGTTACTTGCACAGCAACACAAATTCAAGCAACCTCTTCAAGGGAGGTAGAACTACAACTCCCTTCCCAAAGAGCCACCACGATTATTTAACTTTCCTCTTCCCTCCCCCGCCCCCCGAAATTGTAAGTACTTTGTGGAGTTAACTTCTCAACGTCCAGAAGCAATTCTCAATATACTTTGTGTGCTGGTTACAGTGCAGTTCCTTTATGAGCAGTGCAGAGTAACAAGCCTCCCCCCCGTCCGGCAGGTTCTGCCTTCACAGGAGTATTTATGTGGCCTAATGGATCCATGGCGTTCATGGACATCTCTTGCAGTCAGAAGGGTTCAAAAGTCAAAGATGATTTACAAGAATTTCATTTTCAAACAGCAATGTTTTGGTGCAAAGTTTCAATAAATATGCCAAGAAATTTCAGAGAAACATGCAATAGAGAAAATGCACAAAATACATGTATGAAATGGAAAAATTTTAGAGATCATACATTATTCATGTATGCAACTAAAAGTACTTTCTACAGTTTAAAAGCCTGACACTACAGAGGCAAGAGCCATGAAGCGCTGTGCTGTCTTCCTTGTGAGCAGAGAGAAACAGTGACACTAAAGTCCCCATGTACCACACGTACAATTAACAAAGGCCTCTCCATCAACCAGAAATATGCCGAAATAGGGTTGGGCAGTTGGACAGGCCTGTGATTAAGCAAATTAAATTTCTGCAAATCCAGAAACCTGAGTACAGAAAAGCAGCAACCAGGCCCAAATTTTCCATGTCTCTTGAGAACTTGAATTTTGTACAGAAGAGATACAAGAAGAATGAAGCGGCCCATGTCACGCAGTACCAGTGTCTTGCATGACCTCTGCTACTGGGGAGTGTTTCAACCCAACTGCACCCCAGATGTGGCTTTCTGCAAGCATTATGTGAGCACAACCAGGTTTGTAGGAAGAAGAAATACCTTTTGTTTGACCAATAAGGGTGGCTGGCAAAATGAAGCAGGATTTCAAGTGTATAGGAGACCCTTCTTCAGTGGAAGTAGAATCCTATTTTTCAAACAGAAAATTCAAGGTCAGATACAGGTTGGAATCAGTTGCTCAGTGAATTAGATATGTATCACATTTTTCAAGTATAGGTCATAGTTTCCTACAGATTAGAAAGGATGTAAATAGGAGGCAAAAGGTAATTATATCCTTGGGGACAAAATAAAATCAGGAGTTATAGCCAGTGAGACGTGGAAGGACTAGTAAATGAAGGAAGGGAAGGGAAAACCTGTGCAGAAACATCAATACTGAGTCTGTGGGGTATGGTACCCAGAACATGCGCCCACAGACCAGGTCCTCAGAGCTGCATCCTTTGCCACATTATGCATATCTCTACCTGCCCAGAAACCAGCAATCAGTGGGTAAGGGTAGGTACATTGACAGGGCACATCTTGCAAGGATGACTGTCTCAAGGGCTGACATTTTGCTCAAGAAACATGTTCCTACATGCAGAGTATTTCACAGGCTTAGCTTTAGGGAGTTTCTGTGTGGTCCTGCATGGTCCATGGTGTCTTGGACTGTGCAGTAGAAGAAGTCCACATAAATGCAGCACAAGTGTATTTCTGTAAAGTATCTTCATTTCTATGGTCTTTTGGAGCATTGGTATAAGTACGCATCTACATTAAGGCTTCCCTGATTTTTTTCCTTTTGCTCTTAACAGGCTTTTCGAACTATACCTTTCCCCACCTTAAGAGAATTAGCTGTCAAAGAAGACTACAGCTGTCGTGATGCTCCATCCACATTTACACTTCTGTCCATTGCAAAGGATGTGATGAGGCTGGAGCTGTGTGGCAGTGCACATGGCTACAACCAGTGCCAGCATCTACAGCCAGGTTGGACCTCATGGCACTTGGGCCAAGCAGCCTCTGCACATAGCTTGCCTGCGCCATCAGGGTAGAGAAAGCACAGCAGCACCACCAAGATCAAGAAGGTTTCCCTGTTAACCACCAGGTCCATTTGTGAACCAGGGTGCTCTCAGGACAGAACAGAAGACCAAGGGTACTGATAGGCTTAGCCAGCATGAACACAGTGACGTCTGCAATAGAGTATACAAGGAGCATGCTTTGTGGTATTATTTATTTAGGAACTGTGTGTAACTACAGCCGTAGCATTCTCATCTTTGCAATTCTGATGGTTTAACAAACTGGGAGAACATTAGCATATTTTTATTAAGGTACAAAATACAGCCAATTTTTGCGTAAAACATAAAAAAAGTGTGAAAAGCTCTGTATGCTCTAAATCAGATTCAAAACCTTTCTGTATAAGGAGTTGTGGCAATACTGTGTTTAGTATGAGGGTTTCATCAGTCGAAAAGAAAAGACATGCTAGCAATCTGAATTTAGCAACAAAGATTAAAGCAGTTAAAACCCACCGTGTCATCCACATTAGTTGAGCTTTGAATGTAGAAGAGCAAATCATATGAAACATACACAACTAGGTAATATCAAACAAGCTAAGGTTGATATTGTACACACCTGTATGAAAGTACACTGACTACTTACTGGTGAGGAGTTAAGGTAACGGTTCTTTTAGAAGAGGTAATCTTGGAAATGCAAATGGTTGCACTTTGCACACAAAAAGTGGAAAAGAAAATCATTTTGGGACTGATACATAGATATAAGACACGCTGGTTTGGATTATGCATATCACTTTGCAGGCTCTGATATTACCTCTGAACAACAACAACAAAAATTAAAAAGTGCCAATACTGTGAAAGGAAAGCAAAGTTACTAAATCTGAGTGCATTAACCATTGCTGAGAAAAACCCTGGGGTTTGGGTGTTTCCATTTGGTTTTGGTTTTCTGCATTTTGAAAAAATGCAGCAGCCTTACTGGTGCAGGTTCAAGACAAAAACAAGACAGTCAAGCTCATAAAGTAGGAATAGGTCCTATATAGGTTAAGATTCTTTGGAAACTGCTAAGTATAAAGGAGTTTGTAATCCAGGCTACTAACTTTTTGGCTACTCCAAAAATCTGTGGGAGTTTCCAGCTTATCATCAGTTGAAATCTGTTTTGCAATCGCCAAATAAATGCAAGTAAAACTATAACCTGGTATTCCATTCGCACATATGCACATCGAAGTCACATATTGTGCAATAACCTGTTTTTTCACAGCAGCATACGTATGAATCATAAGTCATGATTAGACTGACCAGAACAACAGGAAATATTTGCAGTCTTTGTGTTTTCAGTCTGTTCCTTCAGTAGGCAGCTGTAACTGCACTGAAGTGACAGGTTCTGTGAGGGAAAGGCAACAAGGTGGGATCAGCTGGTTTGGTTACAAGCAGGATCAACAGTGTCTCAGGAGACCACCTGGATGTTTAACTTCAACCAGTGTTACAGCGGCACTAACAGCACACTGAGAAAGGGCAGTAAATGTGGTTGAAGTTCTGTTTGAAACAAATGAGAAATGAACCCTACCAATGTACAAATGGCTGTGCAGGTTGTGCTAGACCTTCCCTTACAGAAGACACTGCTCAGGGAGCAACCTGTTTCCTAGGACTGGTTAGATTCCCTGTGTGTCTGGCAGATGATTCCTTATAAAGTAGATCTTGGGGAGCCAACTTAGCTGCAGTTTTGGCTGAGGAAAGTGATGGCGTAGAGCAGTGAGCTCAGTAAATAGGCTGTTTCTCTTTAAGATGTTCAGAATATAATTGTAGACTTATTTTCCATAAATTTGATTTAAAAATCAACTGGGCAACTTCGCTGATGACTTGCTTAACGTAAATGCAATCATGCTAGCAACTTCAAATCACCTGCTGATTTGAATTAATGCCCATAGAGAAAGCACACAGGTATCAACTGATCATGCTGAAAAAACACCCCCCAAAGACCTATGTATCACACAAGGTGCTTTTGATAACTTTTTTTTTCTGAGCCTTATAAGGATAGTCTTTAAATATAATTTTATTCTTTTTTTTTTTCTTTGAGCCTTGTTTCATTCTTCCTCCTCTTCATCTTCATCTTCTCCTTCTTTTGCCATTGTTTCCACGAGGAGTTCTGCGGTGCATGTGGCTTCCCCAAGGCTGTTGACAGCTTTGCAGGTGTATTTGGCATCATCGTCCCCACATACTTCAGAAATAGTCAAAGAACAGTTCCCATCCTCATCATAATCTATCTGGAAGTGACGGGATTCCTTGACAGGCTGGTCATCTTTGTACCACATTACCTCAGGGTCAGGGTAGCCTGTAGCAGTGCAGAAAGAGAACAGCAATTACAATGAGTGAGATGTAATTGGTTGTTACTTTCAGTTCTGTGTATGGACATGCCAACATGCTTATACGCAAATATTTCATTGAATTCTATTTAAGATAAATGTAAATGATGTGAGGTGTGCTTACTTCACAGTTACCTGAAACAACTTTATTATGAAAAGCAAAAAATGGAAAGCTAGCACTGAGGTACTCACTGGATTCATCTTTCCACTACTTTAGCAGTGGCTGCAGACAGCTTTTTGTGTGTCTGGGACTGCTGCCGGTGAGGGACTCCTGACAACGTATTTGAGGCTTACCTGACGTTGCAGCTTTTGTGTAAACCACAGTTCCCAACACCAAGGTCTAGAATTTCAACGGTAAGATGTTTCAGACAACAAATTAATATCCTTCTCAGGTTGCTTTATTGTGGCTATTCTGAATCTTCCTCCCTAAAGTGCTGTACAGTGACCATGGTGCTCCCATTTCTGTCTGTGTTTGTCGGGATAAGCAAGGCAGTCTAAGAAAAGCATTTTGATTATGCATCTCAACAGGAGTTTTGGAACCTTTTGTGAAGCAAATGGTTTGCTGTACTCAAAGCCTCCAGAGCAGGGCTGTACAATACGTGCTGGAGAACAATCCCTTATACAGTACTCTTGGCTGCTGTAACGAATTGAAGGCTTGTTGCCTCCGCCAAGTTCTAGTCTGTGATGGGAGGATGACTTCCCACAGAGCAGAAATAATCCCTAATACACCATGAAGATTACATCAATACACTGAAAAGTCTGGAACATCAGCATGGTGCATCTATATATTTTATTCCATGCAGTACTTAGGCACATACCCCTCACGCTGAGCATCCATCAGCAACAATAATCCATCCTCACATCTCCGCTGTGAGGTGGCAAACACAGGCAGTGAAAGACATTAGGGGCACAGAAACAAACAAGCAGAAGGCCAGTGAGGCAGTTTCTGAACCTCATTTTGGGAGTAGAAATTGTCTAAAACATGCAGAATGGTACTGACTATTCATTTTGTTTTAACAGCTCTTCTCTTCCTAATTGCTAGTTTCCATCCATACAGCATCCATACAGCAGCTTCAATTGCATTGCAAGAGAAGTGCTAGCAGTCTTGGCCTTCAAAGTACTCAGCTGACCAAGCCCAAGCTCCTTAACTGCCTTCTCATAAGCTTACTCTTTCTATCTGCATATTCCAGTCTGAGTTTTCTTTCTTGAATTTGTAAGTTAAAAACCCCAAACAACAGTGCAGTATTTTCTAGGTATTATTTTTGTAACTAGCACAACGATGCTGTCGTTCCTTCTCATGCAAATACACTATTAGGGAGCTCTTTGCCTGTACTACAAAGTCTATATGGCTTACAATTATCTTGAGGTCACCTGAAAGTTGCCTGTCATTTCAGACAAGTGACTTCCTGCTTATTCTTGGTTTCTGGTTAGCATTCTCTAAGAGTATACTTTTGCAATTTTATGGTACTACATTGCATCTTGTTTTATTGTTTCTGCCCTCAAAAATCATCTTACTATGCTATGCTGAATTTGTGATTCACACATTGACTTTTGGAGTCCGCTGTTCTGTGGCAAGCACAGAACAAGCCCTTGCAGCTCTGAATAATTTCTGTTACTGTACCACATTCATGCTGTGACATGCAGATAAAAGCAAAATGGCACCAGCTCAACAATAATACAGAAAAAAAAACCCTGACAAAGTTAAACAGCAGCACAATGCAGAGAGCTGGCAAGGAAGGACAAAAAGAAAGAGATACGCTAATCAAAGTACCTTCAATTTTGCAGTCAAATCTAGCAGCACTTCCTTCCACAACCTCCATGTCAAGGATTGTTTTAGTAAAATATGGCTTTACATGGGGCTTTTCTTCAGCCACTTCTTCAAGGAAAGCATCTGGAGAAGAGGGAAGAGATAGTTAATGATTTTACAGGGCATGTTCTCAAAAAGATGCATTTTCATTTTTAATTACCAGCTGGTAATGAAAGCATCTTTTATTTTACTTAATTCTGTAAGGCTAATGGGATAGTGAGGGCATTAGCTGCTTAGTTCTGTGCCAATCTTTCGCAGCTGGAGGAAGATCCAGGCCATAAATAGAAGGAAATTGAAATGCAGGCCACCACACTACAAATCATCTTTATTTTTTTCCTTGAATTTGTTTGTAACCAAATCTGGACTTTTGCTAGTCAGAGGGGCAATGAGTTCAGCTTGTGTCAGGCCCGCAGTCTATGTGGATATGTCAAAGTGACCTTCTTGATTTTCAGAAGTGTCACACATTTGCACCTCTGACTAGTGCACACCACCAATCCACATTTCAAATGGAGACCTAAGGGAATAATGTAGACCCATTGGGGCTTTTTCTTAAAATGTCCCTGTGTGAGGAGCATGGTTAATGCAAAGTACATGTCTTGGTTACAGCAAGTGTTAATACTTCATTGCTTGCTCCCTTGCATGAGAAGGCAATACATCACTGTAATCTTTATATAAACATGCATTCCCAAACTGACAGAATGTGCAGCTGACAAATCTGCCTTAATTCTTTGGCTTTAAAAAGGCAAGAGTTTACTGCCTGTATTTATACAGGGGCATTTTCAGTAGCAGAACAATATGAAAACGATTTTTTTTTAATAATTTCTTAAAAATAAAAAGAAGTGGGGGGGAGAAAGAAAAAGAGCGAGAGAGAGCATGCACGAATAACTAACTTGCTGATTGGTCTCTAGTATTTTACTAGAAGTTTTAGTAAGACTGATTCAGAGAGAGGTAAAAATAGGGTGCAGCAAAATTCCTTACCTTCATTCTCTACTTTGTCTGCATTTATAGGGCTGGTGGGCGAGCTCCCAGAGGCCTTCCTCCCACTCATACCAGAAATCATTGCCATGGACGAAAGTCTTCCTATTGCTCGGACAGCATGGCCTGTTTTCTAAGACATAACATAAAAGGCTTCTATCAATACAGTCCAACAGGCATGTGATTTTCTGTAACAATCGTGCTTCGGACAAATTATCTGGGATCTCTGCAAACCTCGCTGGAATTGTTGGACAAACTGCTTATATATAGCTGTGTTGTTTTAGGAGAGACAGAGCAGGCTGGTCTGAATTACCAAATTTAGTTGCAGATATAAACTTCCTCTGATGAACTCATACCTAAATGAATGTCTCTTTTAGCTGTGGATAAAACGTACTGTGCGAGAGGAGGGCCAGCAAAAAAAGCTATGTCCTGTTTAACTGGAACTTCACTCTGGTGGCGGACAGCTCTCTTGACAGCCATATGGGCTGGACTGAGTTTCATCAAGGATGAATAACCAGCTAATATGAAATGAATGAGAAAGTACCATCTGCATGATGGAAGCAGACCTCTGACAGGCTTGAGAATCAACCACGAGGATACTAAAATATATTTGCACTACCTTGACTCTAGTACAGACATGTATATTTTTGGACAGCTTGCATGAGCTCCTAAGAAACATGTACAGTAGAATGTAAGAGGAAATGTAAGGTAGATTTACATAATTTAATGTTTTGTAGGCTACTCAAAAGGCTGGATCCAGGATTTTATATGTCAACTCCCCTAGCTATCAGAATGGCACAGATGAGCCTGCTACAACAGTTTCAGCATTAAGAAAAAAGAAGATATGAAGACCAAATACATCAATGAAAATTATAAAACCAATTTGACCAAATCCATGAGAAACTTGCTGCTCCAACAGGACATAACTACTGGCTTAGGAGAATGAAACTACCACAAAATGAGGTCGCTTTAAAAGAGGCCAGGTGGGTAAGCTTTTCCCTAGCTGTTCAGGTTTGTTAAGGATAATTTAATCCCCCAGCCCTCAGTGGCATGGAGAGGGCAGGGAGATGGCCAGACCCCCAGAAGAACAGGTAAAACTGTACTTCAACTCAGATGCCTTTAGTAGCCCAAAATGGAATCATCAGGTGTCACATATATACAGCTATGCACCCTCCTACTGCTCGCCTGTAGAAACCAAACCTGCTTTACTGCATTCATACTCTCGAGTTTTCACCACCAACAGAAACCACCTGGCATGACATGTTTCTCAGAATTATAAACATTAGAAATAAAGAGACTTATTAGGATAACTAGCCCAATTCTATGTCTTCTTCATTACCTGCCATTTTCTTCTGGCCATATATTTCTTCATCCTATCTTTGGAAAGTTTTTTGGCTTCCATGGTTTTGGTGTCTTTTTGCAGCCAAGGGTGCTGAAGACATTGAGTACAATTTAACCGACTCCTGTTTTTATATAGAAAGACTGGTCAGTGTTGCCATTAACCACAGCTGAAACTACCCGCTGTAACTTTATTTTGCTCTCTCTTTTACAAAACCTGATTTTTTCTGTTTCCTAAATTTAGCAACATAGATCACATGGCACTACTTTCCCAGCCATGCTTATTTCTTAAACTCACTTCCACAATTTCTGTACATTTTTCTGAGAGAAAACTGTGCATTTTTAAGTGTTAATAAAACATTATAAAACAAAGCATGAAAAGCCATATGTTTTAGGCGTGGAACACATTCAGCAGAGCCACAGTGGTAATGATTCAGCTGCCTGATGCTGGCAGAACCCTGTCCCAGATCTCTTCTCCGTTACTTACAGAGATTTCGCCTTTCCCTTCACTTGATACCCTCCTTTCTTGCAGCCTTGAACATTTAACAAAACAGTAATGTCCAAATCTCTACTCAAGCCACACCTATTCTTCACTTTGTTCATGGTACACAGATATATAATCTTCTGTTCTCCAGCCATCTGACTGCAAACTTGTTGGAAGAAGTATGTTTGTCAGAGCAATCCCAGGCACAGCTACAGGTTGGGCAGAGAAGAGATTCAGAGCAGCCCTGCGGAGAAGGACTTGGGGGTGTTGGTTGATGAGAAAATGCACATGAGCCAGCTTCAGTGTGCGCTGGCAGCCCAGAAAGCCAACCGTATCCTGGGCTGCATCAAAAGGAGCGTGACCAGCAGGTCCAAGGAGGTGACCCTGCCCCTCTACTCTGCTCTTGTGAGACCTCACTTGGAGTATCATGTGCAGTTCTGGTGTCCTCAACATAAAAAAGACATGGAACTGTTGGCACAAGTCCAGAGGAGGCCACGAGGATGATCAGGGGACTGGAGCACCTCCTGTATGAAGACAGGCTGAGAAGGTTGGGGCTGTTCAGCCTGGAGAAGAGAAGGCTGCATGGAGACCTCATAGCAGCCTTCCAGTAACTGAAAGGGGCCTGTAGGGATGCTGGGGAGGGACTTCATCAGGGACTGTAGTGATAGGACAAGGGGTAATGGGTTAAAACTTAAACAGGGGAAGTTCAGATTGGATATAAGGAAGAAGTTCTTTACTGTGAGGGTGGTGAGGCACTGGAATGGGTTGCCCAAGGAAGTTGTGAATGCTCCCTCCCTGGCAGTGTTCAAGGCCAGGCTGGACAGAGCCTTGGGTGACATGTTTTAGTGTGAGGTGTCCCTGCCCATGGCAGGGGGGGTGGAACTGAATGATCTTAACTCTTCTATGATTTTGTGTATTCTTCCCTTCTTTGTTCAGTCTGCTGTAAAGAGGGCTTGCCACTCTGATTTTTTTTTTTCTTGCCCAATTACTAGATTTGTAGGAAAGCTGCCTACTCGCAGGGACAGCCCTTAAAAGCAACACATGGAAATAAATCTGGTAAAATTGCAACCCATTCAGATCAAGATGTGTCATGCTAGAATCTGTCACACAACTGTGAAGATCACAGTAGCCACACAAAACCTCAGTGTGCATCTTGCTCAAGGGAAGGGAAAAGCAGAATGAGCAGGCGGTTAAAAGAAAGTGTTGCATTCAGATCCTGCGCCCCGCATGTAACGTAAATGAGAGCTGCACACAGAGACAGATGGGCACACAGAGCTCCTTATAAAGTATTGCCAGAGGTGCCTGTGTCAACATGGAGATTCACAGTGGGGAAACAAGAATGGCAAGTTCCACTAAATGCAAACATAGAAAGTGTATCAAGTCCGACAGCTTTACTTCATATCTTTCTTTAGTAGATTGCTGATAAAGTCCTTGGCATCATCAGAGATTTCATCAAAAGCCTCATCATCAAAATCCCACGTTGCTGAAGTAACATTGGCTAGGGTTTCGTTGTCGTTGTCTCCCATGAAAGGAGAAAGTCCACTGACCCTGGGGACAGAATAGATAGACAGACACAAAACAAACAATGTAAATTTGCAAGTTATCAGAGGAGCAAATTAAGATTGTGTGTGACATCTCTGCTGCTCTGCAGATCTTTATCAGTGAAAGCTTCCTTTAAAAAAAAAAACAACAAAAAGGACTCAAAGCTAACTCCAGATAGTTTTATGGGAAGGAAAACAGAGTTTTGACTGCAAAACTGAAAGGAAATTTTTGCTTTTTCTTTCTTTTATAGGAAGACATTTTTTAGGTGAGAGCTAGAATTATGTGGAAGTTGAGCCTACTAATTTGCTAAATGATTTGTCTAGTTCTGCATAGCTAATACTTCAATTTTCACACCAAATTCAGCTGAATAGCTCTTTTTTTCTGTTTTTGTTTTTGGTTTGTTTTTTTTTTCCTGGTGCTTTCAGAATTACTTTTGCTGCCTTTACTGTCAAACCCAGTTCTTTTGTACATTTTATTCTATTTACTCCTGCCGAGAGAGCCCAAGATGAAAGATGCGTAATGAAATCATGAAATCCATGGGATATTTTGTAAACAAAACCACCTTGAATTATCTAGGCAGATAAAACAGTGCTACATCACTGCAGGCTGTAGAGTTATGCAAATGCATCCAAAAGTAATTTGATCTTTATGTTCTCAATCTGTCATGATGATGCAAGAAATGGAAATAATACTCTCTTATAACCTAAATTGAGCTTCCAAGGCTTTTTACTCAACATAACTGATAAATTGCCACTGAAAGGCAATTTCAGAACATCATGGTGTCATTTTTGGAGAGTATCTTTCTCCAGTCACGCTCTGTCCTTTATGACACTGTGTCTTTCTTCATCCAGGTACTTTTGATTTCTTTATATATCATACTGTCAGTAAAAACTTTAAAGTGACAGATTGCTTATTCCTTGGAACTACAAATTACTTAGGTTTTCAGGTCTTCTTCCTGACATGCAATTTCCATAATAACCTATTCTTCGTGAAATTTTACGAAGTTTAGTTGCTTTCTCTGTACAATCATATTAACCAGTTAAAACAACCAGTTACAGTTCAACAGTAGTACATTAAAAAGAAACAGAAAAGTAAGTGGAACTTATTAGGGTTCTGTAAATACTATATGGACAAAATAATATATGAGTATCATGATGCTACTGAATATCACAGAACAAACTGGTAGAAAAAGATATTAATATCAAAGTGGGCTACTAGATTAATAATATAATCTCCTCCCCCAAAATTATTTTGCTACTCTTTTGTTACGAATTACATTCAAAATCTGATTTGGAATTTGTTCCTAAGGATTTTATTCCTATAAGCAAAGCAGAAACAGACACTGTTTGAAGCCTCAGACAAAGCAGATACTAAATCTTTTACCATTTCTGGAAGTTGTGTGCAGTACAGCAGTCTAGAAACTTAGTGTCTACTTCAGATACTTGATGGTAATAATACATGAGATGATGATAAAAAGTTTGTTTCTTCTCAGCCAGAAAAAGGTAAATCAGAACAGAAGGTATTTTCTGTCTTCCCATTATATGGGCTGAATTCAAATGCAACAGGAAAACACGAGTTTATAAATGTATAAGGTGGCATTTATGAACATGTATTAGCTGCGAATTACAGAAAGCTGAAAGATTAAGGTACCAAAAAATGTGCACATAAACCAACTTTATCATAATTGTTCTCTTTGACACTTACTTTACTGGAAGAGACAAGGTTTATGCCTGATAGTGCTGGAAAGCTGGCATAGCTGCAGCACAGAGAGACTGCTCTGCTCTCATGCATATCAGCTGTCATGGCCAGGTGAATCATTAAAGTGAAATATCTGTTCTGGAATCTGCAAAGTACTCCTTCAGGGCCTTAAACCTAGCTCTACTCCAATATTTAAGATTTTCCTATTTATGACAATGTCATCATTCTCTATAATGTTTTAGAAAGTGAAAAAGAAATCTCGTCCACACTGCAGTGTGAAGTTTTAAGAGTTCTGTCTGAGTACCAAATACTGATTGCTAAGTGTCTCATTTATGACTATCTGAGTAAGTATGATAATCTCAGGCAATTCAGCAGCTGCTTTTAGCATATACAATGAAGGGTATGTGAAAGTATTTCTTTAGTTCACTGTCAGTATAGGAGATGCACGTCTTTGCTTCATCCAGTTAAGCTTCCAGAGAACACACACTTTGGTAGCCAGAACAAAACCAATCCCATTTCCCTCCAGTACTTGATTGAAGTATGTCAAGGGCAACCTCTGCATAGTATTACCACAAATAGCATTGTGCAGCTCATGTGCTACATTAGATACATTTTGGCCTATTTCCAGAGATTGAAGCTGCAGTGTTGAGAGACCATTTCCATGCTAAAAAGACTGCTACAGGTAGAGAGACATTGCTTCTTGTGGAAATACCACTGCTCCACACTGCCAGAAGAGGCAGTGCTTAAAAAGACATCCAGCTTCCTGGGCAAAGAGATACTGCATGTCACACAGAGCTTTTGAGGGATGAGGGTAAATAAAAAGAGATTAGAGAGGAAAACAAACAAATAACTGTGGCTGTTTTAGCTGCCTTAAAAAAAATAAATTGCATGACAGAATTCTTTGCTAAAATCTGAAATACTATAGTAGGATTGACCCATCCCATGCATTTGGTAAATTACCACGTGAGTATAGGTTAAGCCTCCACTCACTTTGTTGCAAACACTGGTGTAACTGTACCCATTCAAATGTTTCAATGAACCTATTTTCATATTTCTGAATGTGCTGTTGCAAATGTATAAGGCTGAAATAATTTTTTCTCTTTACCACAGTTCCACACTGTGAATCAGTTGCCTTGTCATGGAAATACTTGAATGGAGAACTAGATCTTTGTCTGTAGTCAAAAAATAAAATCCAGCAACTATTGTGGATTATAAGCATAAATTTGTATCTTTAGAGTAAATTTTACAGACTCGAGTCTTTTTGTTCATTTCTTACTAGCCATTTAAAGTAATAATGGCCCAGAAACTTTTGACAGATTGTGGAAACAATTTCTTTTTGGAATGCTGAAGCTAAGTGATAAAGATGAGCTACTGCTACAGAAAATTAATATTGAGCTTACACTGCAAAGTTACTCTTAGACAAGCAGCAAGTTGTTTACTGAAAACATTTTTCCAGCTACTTAAGCAGGCATCTTCCTGGCATGTTAAGAACCATTTGTTTAGAAAATCTTACACAGTTTCCACTTCTAAATAAAGAAGCTACTTTACCCTGCAGAAGTTCCTAGACCATTTATTGGTCTGTTTTAACAAAGCTCTGAGTACAGATTTAGAAATGTTAAGATCAAAACGGTTCAGTGCGGTTGCTGGTGTCATTGCCTATGTAACAAGCACTTGGAAATCTTTGTATTAAGACAAGTTTGCTGCATAGCCAAAAAAGTCAGACTCTGAGCATTTCTTGCAAACAGTGCTTGCAGCACCAACTGATTTGGGTTGATGACAATTTGCATTGCATTAGCAGTGAAAAAAAGTAACATCTTAGTATGAAGAGTACTACCTGCTTCTGATAAATCTGTGCAGGTCATGTCAAATAAGCACATGATAATGCCTGCACCCTGGAGATTATGTAGTAATTGCAGTACTTTACAAGGGAAATAACGCAAATAAATAGTCTCAGGGTACTCTGTGGGGGATGCACATCCACTGGACAAAACCACCCTTTCCTTAGCTGAGGGCTGGCTGACTCCCACACTGGTTCAGGGAAGAAACAGGCCACTGAACCCAGGTAAAAGAAGACAGCTCATTGCTGGAGGAAGGGATGCAACTCTGTTCACACCCTTTTTTTATGTGCCCAGCGGATTAATGAGAAATCACAATTTGCCAGTGCCGGTGAACAAATAATTCATTTTTTGTTGAGCAGCATAGTCATGACATTAAAGCCCTCCTAACTTGCTTTATTGAAAGAACAAGGAGTGCTCTCTCATCTTTATATTAATGAGGCTTAAATTTTTAATGTGACATTGACCCAAATGTAAGCCAGCAGCATGGGTGTCTTGCCTTATCAAAGTCCCAAGTCAGCACACGCAAAAGATGAATGATGCCTGAAGATCTTTTAACCAACGCAAACTACCAAACAAAGGAGGAATAACAGCCCTGATGAATAACCCAATAGATAAAAAGGAAGGGGAATGTTTGAAGAATCAGGGTGTGTGTTATTAGGAAGGAGTTGAAGGAAAAGAGTACACAGCAAGATCAAATGTGATATTAAAACCCAGCCTAAGATACAGCACAGTAATAAAATATTAATCGACAGAGATCAACTACTCTGAAAAGATATACACTGCCTGGCACTGATAAAACAAGAAGAACTAGTAGAAATCAGGCAGAGGTTTGAATCAGCCACAGTCAAATCCTCACTGAAACAAGTCAGATTCTCCTGTGACAGAAGAAGTGTTATCCACTTTCAATGTACATACATGCAGGGCTGAAATCATAGACTGAAAATTGGCATGCAATAAAAACAGAACTTAGAAATTGTTTCAGATTGCTAAATATTTGAAACACTGGCTATCCAAATGGATCATCAGAAAAGAACTAGAAACAGAAGAAAAAAAACCAACCCCAAACCCAAATTCAGCAATGGCCAGATGAATAAATTGGACAGAAAGAGCTGGAAAGAATTCAGGACTTTTAAGCTTCATTAGATAAAGATTACTGTGAATGCAAAAAGAAGCACTGAAATAGACAGAGATGATATATACAAGCTATAATATTCGTGGCCTGTTACTTCAAAGGCAAAAGATGAACTTAAGTATTTAGGACAGTACTGTGATGCAGAACAGGACAGAGAACAAGATAAAAGTGGAAAAAACATGGAGTGGAGAATACAAATAGAGAAGTTTAAGGAAGAACAAAGACTGATGAAGAGACAGGACTGAATCAGTTGTCCACAAAGATGAAGAGGATTTAACGTGTAGCTTAGAAATGTGGAAAGGGAACCCATGAGCCGTAGTGTGGAATTAAGTCAGTCATGCCATAAGGGAGACAGATGCAACATCTTAACAGCGCAATATCTGTACTTGTGCCTACACACCAGAAAGCTGTTTTGCTGCAGGGTTTTGGAGGAGTGCTGTCACCCTCTTTCCTACTTGAGATTACATCCCACCCATTTATTCTTCTACAGGGAAAACCCTTCAAACACAGAGATCTCTTCAGCAGCTCCCTCCTAAACCTGGTTTGTATTCATTGTTTTACAGCACATAATGGAAACACACTGTCTTTCTAGGCAGGTTACAGGTCTCTCAGCACTCTAGAATCCTACCTTGAAAGAGGTGTTATGTCAAGCCATGCAAAGCATGCTCCCTGCTGCTTCTCTTAGGACGTGATGGACACAGCAACTTTTGGCCATGGAGACACATGGCCGTGCAGACCTGCATTTAAGCCCAGTGCTGCTGCAGTGCTTGCCTCTTCCTTCATGGCCTCACCATGTCAGGGGAGAGGGGATGCAAATGCTAAGTTACAAGCACTGTGATGGTATGTGAGACAGACGCCAAATAAGTGACTCTTGCACTTTGTGCATGACATTTGGCAGTTCTGAGCATATACTCAGAACAGAGAAGCAGAGCTGCAGCTAGAAAGAGATGCAGTTCTCAATGACTTTTATTTGCATTCTGTAAGGATGATGTGATGGTCCATTTTGGATAATGGCTCATAGTTGTGAATCCACAAAAACAGCTGGGCTTTAAAGAAGTGAAGACAGATTGGGAGCCTGTCACTCTGGGGTGGAGAGGGAAATTCCAAGTGATGACTCACGGGTCTTTCCTAACTTCTATTACTTTATTCTTGTGGCAAGAAAGACAAAAGCTGATTACTACTAATCATTACTGTGGCAACAGCTATGCATAAAAGGTGCATAAAAATAAACTTTCAATTGCATTTGGGTAACATAGCTTTCCAATCTTGAGATGTAAAATGAGCTTAAAGACACTTTAGCAAACAAACACATAATTTCATAATATGCTTCACAAGGCATATTGGGTCATCTGAATCAAAGGTAACAACACCCCAGCCCCATCAGCTGAACATTACAGCATCCAAATTATCTTACTTCTGGTGACATAGAGAAGCTGGGTAGAAGCAGTTCTGCCACCACTGGCAGACTGGTCTTTGGCAAGACATTTCACCTTTTCTCCATCTGTTTTGCCTGCTCCCTTTGCCTTGTCTACTGAGATGATGTCAAATGTTCTCCAGCATGTACCGTAATGGAGCAGCAACCCTGGTTGCATACCCTAGAAGCATACACAACTGCTATCACCGATTATTTGCCTCGGTTGTCTGGCATGTCACTGCTTATGCTGTGAACGCACAAAAACTGTCATATACTTTGATAACAAATGACAGTAAAAGACGTTAAACTCCCTAATGTGCGCCTAACGCTCGTTCATGTTTTATTCCTTAGCGGGTGAGGGGCCTCTAGGGGGCAATGCAGCACTGATGTAACTGTCGGGTTTTCCGTTGCTGTGCAGGCGGTCTGGGATCTCCATGCTCCTCTTCAGTGCTCTGTAACTCAGGAGGCCTCAAAAACTAGAGAAATAAATGAATTCGCCATCTGAGCACTGCCTGTGTGGTCTACATTATTCAGACTACAGAGTGACCCAGACGAGGTTTCAAGATCTAGAAAAAAATGCTGGAAGTGAATAGAAAATAAAGGTCCTGTAAATAAACTGGCAGAGTGAAGTGACCTTGAAGAGCGTAGCACACTTCACATAAGAAATAGAAGATAACAGAAACATTCAAAGTCTTTGCTGGGAATAAGAGAGTTGATGTAGTAGCTTTTGCGCAGGACAAGAAGGAAAATTATGTTGCTTAGTTTGGAAATGAGTATGAGAACTGACAAGGCAAGCAGAATCATGGAAGAACTGGGTAAAGATGAGGCAAACAACTGTGCACTGCCAGGTGCAAGAGCTGCAACTAACCATCATCTAAAATATTTCCATTCTCTTGATCCATGCTGCTGATAAATTGTATTAATCCTGTGGTTTGTTTTTAGTAATAAGTTAAAATGCACTGTGAACAGAGAGGGTAATGCTGGGATACTTCAGTCTGTCCCACAAGGAATACAATCTGAATAAGACAACCCCAACATTTCACCAAAAATTTCACACTGGGAATAAAAGAATGGAAATTATCATGCCCAAACATTTATTTTTAGCTTCTGTGAAGGAAAAAATAGTTTCAAATTAATCATAAAATACTCTCACATTGTCTTTTTAAATGAGATGAAACATTGCTGTTCATGATGTAAGATGTACAACACTAAATGACTGGATTTCCAGAGCTGCTGGTTCTGCAGTTTGCCAGTTGCACCCTTCAGAGAACAGAGAATTTTTATTAAACATGCTGGAGCTGTTAATTATAATAAAAAAGGCTGAAAATTGGAGAAGAATTCAGAAGTTGATGGAAATTTTGTATGTTCAGCAACTGTCAGGATTTGTGTTTATAGCAAAGATACTCACAAGATGTAGCAGATAACTCCTATACTCCACATATCTGTTTCGTATCCAATAGGTTCATAGTTTATAACTTCTGGAGCCACAAACTCAGGTGTCCCAAAGAGAACTTTTAGAGAACCTGCATTTTCTGTGAAGAATGCAAGAGAAAACATTAACTGCTACATACAGTTTTTCTTTAAATAGAAAACCCCCACAATTATTCCACAGTGACATGAAAACCAGTTTGGTTTCATATTTGTGACTTTGTGGATGCTTCTAAAAGGGTCTACAATAAAGCTAATGCTAGTAATATGAGCTGAAAGAATGAGGTCATGGGACATATGTGCTCACTCTTTCTTGTGTTGACCCACCAGTATTGCTCTACTGGAAAATACAGTGATGAAGGTGGAATAACCTCTTTATAACCTAGTATTACCAGTTTATGCTGCCAGTGTGCAACTGTGAATGATATGTCTAACTTGTAGTCGTAGTGCGAAACACAAGTCATTTAGATAGAAATTATTTAGGTAATGCAATTAGCAATTGCATTATGTTTATCTTTTGTGCAAGAGTTGCATCCAGATTAGGCACAGTAGAATCACATTATGAGAACTCATGCCTTCCCCTAAGAGATTATAACTTAACCAAACCAGATCTGAATGGGAAGAATTACAGATGTAACAGATTCCAATCCTGCTCTTGTTAAGGTTACCACAAGTGTAGAAATTTGAAGCACTATAATCAAAAGAAAAGCTTAAAAAGACCTCAAAACCCAGCAGATCAAAGTTTTGAGAAGCCTACAGTAGAAGCTACTTGTCCACAACACTGGAGCTTTGCAAAATACTTTTATTTAGCAGCTCTTGCTCTCCCAAGTTTTGCAACATAAATGCTGATCCCAGTACTGACTCTACACCTACAGTTACCTCCACTAAAACATTGAAAGCTGTTCAGCCATTTCATAAGATGAAACCATATGCCCAAGTTAGTACTCTTTCAAGGTATGCAAATCTCCAGTTTACCAGATGAAAATTGAAGATTATGTGAGATTAATAACTTGCCTAATAATTGAAGAGCACGCTTGAGACAACTTTCAAGCACTACAATGGTAATTCACTCACAGTCATGCCAGTTTCGCATTTTAAATGCTGTGAAATCCTTGCTCTTCTCAGGTATGGTGATAGTAAATTAAATACAGGAACCTCATTTTCACACATTATCCCTGCTTTCAGAGACCCCTCCATGCAGAAAGTACCCATTTCTAGAGACACAGACAGAAGAAAGCCAGGGATCAGCCCTAGGAAACCCCCTGGGCCATCCCGTGCAAGTTCACCAACATCAAGTCCTTCCTGCCAGATGTCTGTCTAGCCTTTAAAAAGCACATTCAAGAGCTGTTCCACAATATCCTTACACTCACATAACTAGAATTTTCTTACCCCCCCCCCAACCAAAAATAAGATTCTTTCCCTAATATCCAGTCTAAACTGAGAGCCTAAAACAACAGCAATCTCTTCTCCACAGTGTGTAAGTAAGTAAGGAGTGAGAGATCACCCTTCATTTTCTAAGCACAGACGGGAAGCCTGAGATCCCATCTTCCCATTTGCCTTCTCTTTAGGTCAACACCTACATTTTTTCCCAACTGTCCTTATGAAAAGTTATTGAAATTTGTCACAAAGTATCTATTTTCTGAAAGCTTCATCATGATCATCCAAATCTCAGGCTCAGATTTTTACATCCAAGTTTGGAAGCTTTTCTGTGCACTGTGTAAACTACCATGAGCCACTGTGTATGCAAAAGGCTGGTGTATGAAATGTGCTGCCCATAGGTCAGAGAAATGTTTTTTTGAAAACATGGCATTTGAGTGCAAGCATACAGCGTGAAACAACTGATAGTGTTTCTGTTTATAAATGAAAAAAATAAAGGAATAGACCTTTTCAATGCAATAATATGTCAAATCTTTACCCAGCCATTTAGAAGCTTGGTATACAAGTAAGATCTCTGTTTGGATATCCCTTAGTTCAGATAGAAAGCTGACAAGCTAGCTGGAAAGGGTTGCTGAAACTGTGTATAATCAACTGATTAGAAAAAACCTTTATAGTACTCAAAACCCATTCCCTTTTCTCCTCAAGAAGTTTATCTTAAACAATTTTCTGCATGTGTTCCTCAGCACACCAAAAAAGGTCAGGAAAATATCCCTCTGCAGCTTTGGTATTTCCTGACAGTGCAAGAGAACTAATTAGCTGCAGGAGATGACTGCAGAAGGAGCTGATTCTAATTCCTTTAAAACTGATCAAAACACTGAATATTTAGAGGCATTAATTTGCATGAGTTACAAAAAAGTAAATCTCAGAAGTGCAAAATCAGACACTGTTCCCTTCAGCAGTCCATTGGTTGAGCAGTTTCTGCTCAGTCAGGGTCAGCTCCATACTCTGAGGGACTGAAACCAAAGCCAAAGTGAATTTAAGTGCTAATTTCAGTATCAGAAAGCTTGACGGAACACAAGTGGCAGAATGTGCCCTCAGCACACTGCATAAGACAATTGGAAAGAAGAGGGTACTTTCTGAGAAGTGTTTTGTCAATTTTTGTAAGTAAATGAAAGAGTAAAAATTGTTTTCTACTTTTGGAAAAAATCTGATCTGAAATGTTACAAACATCTTCATGATTAACACAGTGCTTTTGCTTTATGGGCATGGCATGGGAGGATGCTTTCTCTTGCTATGGAAATGCCACATGCACCAAGTTATCCAGAATGGCAGGCTGATGAAAGAAACAGCAAATGCCTATAATTTAACTTTGCAAGAATTATCAACCTATTAAGCCAAATGAATGTAAATTATTGTAAGATCAAAATCAGTGGCAGTGCCCATAGCTCCCATCCTTCTACATCGAGAAAAGCTATTTATAGGTTAGAGATTTAGTACATGTCATGACTGCAGCAGCTCAGCAGCTAGTGTCAGCCATGCAATACACAGCGATGCCACAAGATTAACAGAAAAATCTAAAGGGTGATGGCAATGAGCAGGCTACTGAAAATAGGATCTTCCTTTTGCTAAATGTGTGTTGAACTGTGAAGTTGAAACAACAGTTGAATAAATTCCTATAAAAAGGCCATTCTGTGGTTACATTGTATGTCTTGTTGAAATCCACTAAGTTCAGCAGTAAATACATAGTTTTCAGGCTGACAGCTGGGACATCATGGGATGGAGTTTTTCACACATCTCTGATAAAAAAAAGTGCAGCACTGGAACTTACTTACCAGTTCATCTATTTCCTCAAAAAGAACAAAATCCAGTTCATGCTACCAGAAAACTGTTGGTTCCATGCTGGTGAAGGAACATAAATGGCAACAATCTCTTTGTTTTGTTGGTTTTGTTTTTTTAACGAATGAAATAAACACCTTATCTCAGAGCTCGCAGCGTCCCTGAGACCAAGATTCCTGCAACTTCTGGAGTTGAACATCATCTAAAAATCCCCTATTCATTCATTATACCATTTTTGGTTTGTTTTAGTAAAATAATACTCTTGGGTATGCAGTAGTCTGTTACTAAGTGTGAAAAGAAGTAGGATGAACAGCATGCAGGCAAGTAACAAAATCCAGAAGGTTGTAATTCCAAACTGCACTCTTACAGAAAACATTCATTGTTCTACTTTTTAATAAGCATTATTTTGTTTAAAGAGGGATGGCAAAAGACTACAACTAAGAATCTAGCTGTGGGCCCCTTTATGTAGAGAGCAGCAATTCATGAATTGTTCCAATCAATTTAATGGGAGAAGGGCCACAAATCTCAGCTCTCGCAGTGTGACAGGTTCATGAAGTATTTTAGTTCCTCTGAATTCGTGGAATGATTTTTTTCTCTTGTGAAAATACAAGATTTAAAAAAAATCAGCGTGTGATGTTGGTAATGTTTAACACTAATAAGCACAACTGAAGGGCTGCTTTTTAGAGCTGAATTAATGCTGAGCAATACGAAGAAAAGAACCCTCCAGGGTGTTTGGATTTCAAATTGCAGAGCACGGTGAAAGTCCAAAATGGATGATAGGAAGCAGCTAAAAACAACTTAGGAAGGAGAGGAGCTTGTCAAGTGGAACTCCCCCCCTCAATCCATTGCATTATTTTTAAGTAGCACTATTTTATTTTAAAATTTTGAGCATGAACAAAACACATCTCTTTATACAATTCCTCCCTTGTTTAACATCTCAGGTAATATGTTTCTATTTAGGATAAGAAATGATAAAACTAATGGGGAAATGTAAATTAAATGTAATTATCCCTATCTGAAAGGCTTCTAGAACATCACCTTAACTCTTATTGATACAAAATTTCAAGGATTTGTAGTATTAATGAAGATCAAGGTTTTGTTCTGTTTTTTTACAGTTAGAGAGTTAGTGGTTTATGGTTTCATGTAGCAGCTATAAATATTTGTTAACATTACTACTACTGTATATTTCACCTTGTAATGTACAGGGATACCCTAGCCATAGAAACAAATGAGTAGACTGTATACTCTTCACTGCAAACTCCTCTTGCAGATGAGGTGCCCTACCCTCATTCTTAAATATCTTCTTTTTCCGTTTTCTATTTTTTTCCCAAACCTGTAAATCTTTATAGGAAACATACTATTTACTCTTTATATATAAAATATACAAAATAATATAATAGGAAGTATTAATTACTGTTTGTCCTGCCCTTTTCCCCATGTCATATTGAAATAGGCAGAAAAGTCATTACCTAATCTTCTTGCAAGTCCAAAGTCAATGAGTTTGATACTTGTACCAGTCTTGTTGACACACATAATGTTTTCTGGCTTCAAATCCAAGTGGACAATACCCTGCTTATGGATGTACTGAACTCCTTCTGAAATCTGCTTCATATATTTAATGCACTCTCTCTCTGTCAGTTCAAAGTCTTCATCAATGATTCGTTCAAAGAGTTCTCCTCCAGAAACCCTATGAAAGGCAGAATAAAAAGAGGACTTCTGTAGCATTTTTATTTTGGGAGTAATCAAACTATTTCCTTTACAGAAATACAGATAATTCAAGCTTGCATTAGTCACTTGAGGACACAATCTGTGTTTTGCAATGGCATTTTCCATACACACAAGGATCACATATGAAGAATCACCTCCTTTGTGCAGTATAAATCAATAGATTTTCTCTATTCCGAATCTCTTTCCCAGATTAGGACTATGAAACACACACACCGGTATCCCAGGCAGGGATGTAGATTTGCATCTGGCCTTTAGGATTCAGTCACCTGCAGCTGGGAGTAAAGTGTGTGCCATGTGATTGTCACCTTGCTGACATGTGTTTAGACACTGCTTGACTCACTGCTTCCTTTCTCCCGATGTTCTATCACTGCAAAGTGCTGAACCCAGGACAGCAAGTAACATAATTAAAAAAAAACCCTAAGATACATGGGATGGGTCCCAGGGAAAGAGGACAAAACTTCTATTAGAGGAGCAAAAATTTGGGAAGAAGGGAGATTGGGAATGACAAAGAAAGGCTGAAGAAGGAAATATTCAAAAATACGGTTAATTGGAATGCAAAGCTTAAAGGGTAAATTATTGACCCAAGTGAGCTCAGAGGGAATTTCCTCTTTAGCTATGACAGGGCAAGGATATAACCCACAGCTCTTTCAGTGCTGGTATTTTTAGCTGAGCCATCATTACACTCTTTATAGATCAAAACCATTTTTATGCTTATTTAAGATGTGAAATAATTGGTCTTTCCAGGGTAGAAGCTCCTGGATTAAACTGTTTGTGGAACTTAAGTGGGACATTTTTAACCTAGACATAATCAAGCAAAATTTAAATCATGCGGGGGTTTGTTTGTGTGTTTCTTTTTGGTTGGTTGGTTGCTTTTGGTTTGGTTTGGTTTTCTTTTAATTCTGTGTAATCACTCAACTGATTTATCTGATTATGTCCAAAGATGGGAAATATTTTTTGTATGCAGCAGGTGAATGACCCATACAAAAAGGAGCAAATGGTGAAGAGCAGCTTTGCTTTTAGAAGTCTGTTCTAAATTTAAATGCTTCATGGTCTTTATATGGCTTTATATTTTGCAGCATTCACGCTTATTGCCAAATGTAATTGCATATTTCAGTTACAGAAAAAAAACACACAACTGCAAACTGGGCTTGCAATGTTTGCAGGTTGGCAGGTATATGATTATATCCTTCATGTGCTAAACTGAAATTGAAACATCTGGAGTTCTGGACACATATCTTGCTTTGGTTATAAGATTTCAGAAAATATATAATTAGAAATGGTACTGCAGTTTCCTATTGACATGAAAATAGGGAGAAGAGCATATGCTTGACAAACTGAGAGGCTACATTGAATTATAGCATATATGTAACATAAAGTCATTAATATGGTTAAAGCTGTTGAATAAACAATTCTAGTAAGTTGGAGATCTAGTATTTTGTTACTCCAGTAAGATATTAACAGTAAGGAGGTGTTTATGAAAGCATCTGCATGCAAAATGGTTACATATCTGGAGCACCCTGTGATTTCAAATGATAACCATAATAATACTAAGAAGTACCAGCTGCTTTTTTGACTACTTAACACAGAGAATGATGGCTTTTTTTTTACTGTAAAAAGTGCCATACTTTTCAGATCCATAAAGCAAAAAAATTTCAGAAGTTGTACCATTGTTTCAAGCACCACTTCTTAGCATACTATTTGGACATTGACTACTGTTAATAAATATGCATTTTTTTATCCTTGGATCATTAGATCCTCTGGTAGCATCATAGATTAAATTGCAATTGCATTTTTAGAATGCACATTTTGTATTCATATTCTGAGCCAAATCCAGTTTCATTTTTGCCAGGTTAGGAAGCTGAAATGAACCAATGCAGATTAGGTTCTACGTGTATACAGAAGTCAGCTTGCTTCCGACAGTCACAACTAGTTCAGAATCTAAATCTCTCATTCTTTACTGGATTCTCCTCTTTTCAGTTTTCTCTAGATGAGGAAAATATTCCTGTCTATAGAGTCACAGAATGCACAGTTTAAAAATACTTTATTAGAAGTTTTGGTCATGAAGGAGCAGTGGGAAGAATCTACCTTGGAGTTACCCAGGGCAAATACTCAACTGCATTTTAGTAAACCTCACTTCAAAAAAAGAGAAAACCCTTAGTGACTTGTGCCAGCTTAAATCACACCAGAGGAATGGAGTTTACTACTGATTTTTTTTCTTTAATAATCTTCATTTGCAATACAATAAACTTTTAATCTATGTCAAATTAAACTAACTTTCTGAACTATGTAAAAACTCTGAGGCACTTAGCTCCTGCTGCTGAATGCCATTCACAACATGCTGCTATTTTTCAGATGTTCTTTTTCCACTGAGATGCTTGTTGTGGAGCCAGTATATTGCCATATTTGAAAAGGAAATGCCTGAGATGTGTCCCCAGTTTCCAGCAAAAGGCAGATGGGGTGGTTTCCAAGGAAAAGCACATCAAGAATTTGAATCTTTCTAGTGTTTGATTTTAAATGAATGATAAAAAATAGTGCATTTATTATAAATATGAAATCAAACAGTATAAAATAGTGGCATGAAAAATATTAAAAGAAGAGAGGATGAAGTTCAAAAAGTTTTGAGAAATATATGGGCATAAAATTAAAATTAAAATCTTAGGATAAGTATCAGTTAGAAAAATCCAAAGGTGCTTTTCAATAATAGTGGAGGGGGAGCTGCTACATTCCAGTCACTGCTAAAATCTGGTTTCAAAGGAGGCTGATGGCAATTGAGCTTGATTTATGTGAAATCCGTGCATTTAGACTCTGATGGGAATAAGGAAAACAGCTTGGAGACTAAAAATTTTTGAAGGTATTTTCCACAACTTCTTTGATATTCAAAGAATTATTAGCTTAATAGCAAAACCAGAAATGATCCACCTGTGGCTGTCTAACAATACGGGTTCAGTGGCTGTGCTGGGACTGTGTCAAACAGGTATAGAGGCTGCCAAGAGTCATCTGACACAAAGATGCAACTGACTGCCCAGACCTGCTCCAGAGCAGGGACAGACTGCTACTACCTGCCTGCTGCCTGAAGAACCATTTCTCCTCCTGTCTTTGTATGGGGGTCAAAAGCCAGAAAAGTTGGCTACCCCAAACTAAAATCATACCCTAGTTAGACTGGTTAACAAAATCACTTTAGATTGCATTTTTCTATATTTTTAAAAGTAAAACCTCTTTGTTGGCAGGGGGTAACTAATGGAGTGTAAAGCCATATGCTATTCAAAGCTCTTTATACATTTCCTTGTTTTCCATTAGGTCTGCCAGATCCTAATTCCAGGCTAAGTAGGGCTCCCTTCCCTTACCATCAGCAGCTTGCTCAACTTCTGAACCTAAAAATAAAACCACTTTCTTGCACACAAGTTCCAAGGTTGTATAATGGAGATCCAGTCTCTAAAATGTGCTATAGGAGTTTGCACATAATCTAGGCAACTGCCAAGCGAGCAAAACAGACATATAGACTTTTGCTTCTAACTATTTATATCTTATTTAGCATTTCCAGCCAGCAAAACACCTGCTGCTGCTGCTTGCAGCAGACAGCACTTGAAGTAGATGTGGCAACAGAACAGTGACTGATGTAACTTTTTGGATAAAAAGCATCAGCACGGATCAGGATTTCATTTTCTTTCCAGCTACTACTGCCACAAGTACTGGAGTCATACCAAGCAGGTGCATTATGGATGATGTAAACATTGGTCATGTTGGTCATTATTGTTTATGAAGTCTGACCATTACTTTCCATCCCATGCTGTGCTTTTCTTATAGTGAATTCTGGTGCATGAACATGTTCTGAACCTTCTTTTTGTTTTGATAAGTAAGTAACTGCCATTTTTAAATACAAAGATACCCGTCACAGGCCTGTGAGGTGCTTGACAGAACTGCTTTAGTGGTGCTTTTCTGCTACTTCCCACAGTGGTGTGGAATAAGTAGGTCAAGGCAAATGATTTCTGGGAGGTAAAAAATAAGTGTTGCTCTCTTACTCAGCAAGAGCAAGGCAGCAACACAGGCTGTCTTCAAATGCAGCTTTACATAATTGTATAGCTTTGGATGAAGAGTGCAATAACTTTCAACTAAAGGAGAAATTCCCTTCTACAACTGCTGCACCTGGACCAGCATAGAGAATCTGTGTATTGACATTAGGGGCAAATCAATTCATGTTTAATTAGGGGTCTTTTGGTGGGAAACAGTCAGTGTAACCAGTCTTCCTGCATCTACTGGTATAGATGTAGAACATTCACTGCGTTCATCTGAGGAGATTTTTTAGACAGCACTCCTTTATTATAAATGGTTTGCAATTGGAGTATTTATGTTGTTGCAGAAAAACCACATCAGACTAATCCTTCAAGTCTCTTAAGAATATAAAAACTGGATATAGAACTTGATGAAAACTAAAATGTTCCTAACATCTCTTGGGCATTATAAATTTGCCTGGCTGAATTTTTCATGGAAATTCAAATATATTGTTAGAATGTAGCTTAAATGTTTGCGTTCCCAAGCATATCTTTCTTACTAGCTCTTGCACACCAACATTCAGTTCTCTGCACAAGACAACTTATCAGTGTTTAAGTGAAATTTGACATGAGCTTTTACAATACATGTTCAGAACTGCCTAAAGAAAGAAAGATTTTTTTCCTTAAACATATATTTGGTTCTAAATGAAAGCCCAAATTGCAGCTAACATTTTTGTCTCCCCTCCTAAGTCGGCAACAAAAGAATGAGCAGCAGAAAAACACCACAGGTACTTTAAAAACCAAACAAACTAGACAATAAAAACCAAACAAACTAGACAATAAAGGTTGTAACACATCTCTCTTATTTTTAAGAGATACAACACAGATTCACTTACACAGTTTAAACAAGTTGGATACATAACTGGAGAAACTTACAAGATGTGAAAACCATCCAGGCCCTGACGATCCTGAAACCTTTGACAGTCCCATATCTGGGTAAGTTGCTACATTTGCACAATTATTTTCAACATTATTTGCTTTGTTAATGAGAACTACTTTATACTTACATTTCCAAGACCATAACGATGTTGGCTTTTTCTTCAAAGGCATCTACACATTGGACAAGTTTTGGATGATGTAGACAGTTCATGATGCTGATTTCATCCCTTATGTTTTCTTTTTCCTTAGCAGAATATGCTTTGAAAAATTTTCCTGCCCAAACTTTTCCAGTCTTCTTTTCAACAAGCCTAAAGACTTGTCCAAATTTCCCCCTGAAAATATACAACTATTTCCAGTAAAAGTTTTTGCAATGTATGGGCCACCATAAATAGCAATATTTTACTAAATATTCAGTACAACCACTCCATTCTGAAATAAATATGTCTTCATATCAAATACTGTTCAGTACTGATTTTGTGCAGAGTAATCTGCAAGAATTTTTGAATGAATGCCACATTTAGAGACACCCCACTATACCAATTAGCAAGTTTTATATAAGAAGGTTCAAAAATTGGAGTTCTACCAGGCTTTAATTCATGTCACCCAAGCCTTTCTGCACAGTTTTCTATAGATCATACACTCTGAAGGGGCAGCAGATAGGAGACAACTCAGGGGCAGGATATTGGATATAGGTGAAATCAGAATCAGAATGCTAGAGGCTTCAATACTATTATTTCACATGCTGCATATGTACAATTCTACTCTTACGATACATTTATCAAGATTTATTAATGGCAGCATAGAAGATCTTTTGGCCTTCAGCACCACCAGCAGCACAAATCACCGAAAGATTATTGTGGCATGCAGTTCACATAACCATGAGTTTGAGCACTGAGAAACACAGCCAGGCTAATCACTGACCTTCACTGAGCAATACTGTTAATGCTCTTGGGATTATGACCGCTGTCAAAAGAGATTCTAGCCCATGGGCAGGATAATCTTATTACCACTAATGGATATAATGGAAATTCAAGTGCACAATGTGTACCTTTTTTTTCAGCTAGCTTTTAGAGCATTGAAAAACGAATGAATCATCTAGCATTATTCATTTTGTGGGCTCCATTCGCCTTGCCAGAGATGTGCATGGTGTCTATTTAAAATTATCAATTAATAGGAATAAAGGATGTTTATGGAGTTGGGGCCAACATATGTTAAAACCTATTTCTACTGCAACAGAGGAGCCCTGTTGGAATGTTGAAAGTGCAAGACACTGTCAAAGAATGAGTGCACATGATCTTTATAATTGACTGGTAGCCTTGGAAACTCCATGTCTTCAAAAGCACACCACAGTACTTACGATCCCAGCCTTTCTTCAATATTATAGACATCTGAAACTTTTTGTTCAGTGTTGATAGTAACCGTCCGATACTCGACCTCAGTTTCTTTCCCTTCTATAAATAAATATTAAGGACCATGATTAAAACCTCCATAAAACATGAATGAAAACACAGATTTTCATTTGTCCTGATTAAAATATGAATTTCTTACCATCATCAGATAACTCCACTTCATCCTCTTTAAGTTCTATGATGAAAATAAAAAGACATGAATAACTTATGTAGGCTATGGTATGTACATAACACAGTCAAATTATTCAGAATGACATGGGCATTAACTTCATAATTAAAATCTCTTCAACACTTCTATTTGGTTATTGACTACACAATCACAGTCTGGTCACCATTTCTTGATAAATCAAGTTAACGTGTTTTGCAGTACTTGTCTATTATACTTGCCTACTAGAAACAGCAGCGTACTCAACCAGTTCAAGGTCATTTAATAAGTAGCTTTAGGAATGCCTTAGTGAAATAGAAAATAAATTCAAAATATTAAAATCAATAACAACACTTCTGGTTCAATGGCACATCCTTTTCCAGCTTTTCTATGCATTTTTTTGGGGTTGCAAAGCTGAAAATAAAGCGAGTTTTTGCATGAAAAGCTTTCCTGCAAAGCATCCAGACAAAGTTTTCAGGCTCAAGATGGCTACAAACTTTGGACAGCATGCACTTTCCTGAGCATGGCTGAATTTTGAAATCCCTGATGTCCAAATGGAGCCTCAGTTCTGCAGACATACTCAAAGACAGGCAGAAACGTTGGCAAGCCCAGTGGCATAAGGCAGAGTAAAAGCTGGCCTGAGTGTCTTGATTTTAATTTTTAATTTTCGTGTGCATGAACTGTCAGTAGCACTGGTTTGTGTGTTGTTCCCTATGTTGCCTGCAGTATGAGGGGAAACGGGTTGCAGCTGGAATGATGTTACATATTGCTTGCACCTCTCAGGCTTGCTCCTAAGAGCTGTGGCTATAACCAGTCATTTGAAAAGCTGCAAAGGCAGTTGTACAGTGACCTGTAAAATCCTCACTTTAGCTGCTGAAGGTGCACTTTGCCATGGTAGAGTGCAAGCCTAACGAAGTGATTTATCCCCACTGTGTCAACAGATTTATGTTTTGAAACATTAATGCAGTACTCTGGATGCTGTTAACTATATTAGAGTATAGAGCTATATGCAGCAGCTGAGAAGAAAACAGCAGAAAAAAAGGGCGCAGGGTGAGCAGACAGCTGATCTGATGCATGGGCATCGCTTTTTCACATCCAACACATAATGCTGCATCTGTATTCTGGTAGCAAAGACAATCAAGTAGGTATAATCTGTTACTAAAGCCTGTCTCTCTTTTTTTCTGCATTTGCAACCCTTGTATGTCCCAGCACAGACGAGCTGGTGTGCAGCAATTTACCAGAAGAGCAGGGAAGGAAGCAAGCCTTCCCCCCTCAAGTGTAACTGTCCTCAGATCTTCCTCAGCTGGAAACCACACTTGCATAGAGCACATCACATTTTCCTCCCCTTTTAAGGGCTGCATAAAGGAGCTGATCCCAACCACACTGCCAGTAGTTAATGTCTGCCAAATACTGATCAGACAAAGAAGTCAGTTCGCTGTTCTGCAGCAACACTGTATTGAAACAATGAACTAGAAACATTTTGCTCCACCAGTGGAAGCCTAAATTAGATAATTGGAACATATCTGAGCTTGGTAAGTGCTGAGTAGCTGTGTTAAAACCTTTCCCAGAAGTGAGTCAAGGGTACTGAATATTCCTCAAACATGGCAATACCTATAATCTGTTGTGATTTACAGCCTTATGTGAGGAGCTGTTTTCTTTAAAAGTTAATCATACCTTTCTTCACCAAGGTTATAGTGAGATTGCTAATATGCACTGGTTACCTGAGTACGAAAATCAGTAATCAGTCTTTCTGGCAGCAACAGAAAATCCCTAGTTACTCAGATAAGTATTTACATAGATGGCAGCTTAAAGTCCTGACTTTGACAGGTGCTGGACACATGCATTTTCCACTGCCTTTAATTAAAGCACCAGTTCGCACACTTAAAAAATCATGTTTTATATGACTTGCCCTTTCTCAATGCTAGCTGCAGTATCAAGAATTGAAGTCAAGAGGTGCTGGCATTGAGAGCTCCAAGACAGCCCACCCTCCTATGAAAAGAATACATTTTCTTTTCACTCAAAACAGTATTTCCTTTGGTTGTTTTTTGTTTATTTGTTTGGGTTTTTTTGTATGTATCACAATGATTCACACACTTTCTAGCCCTTTTCTATTAAATCTGTATCTCAGTCTTAAACTCTCAGTCTTAAAAATGGCTTGTTTGTTTGATCCAGTACAATTAGTGCTTGTTCTAGGAAAAAACAAATGTAGGGAAGAGTCAGGTCCCTAACTCTAGAAGGTGTTTGTCCTCCATCCAAAGAAAGAGGCTAATGAAACACAGGTAATTTTATTATGAAGATCCAATACCATCTAGCTCCCTTTCAATTTTATTGTTGCTCTTAATGTAATTTTCTTCCCTTTGAAGAGAAGTTTCATCTTGATTTAGATCACATTTAAAATCTTTAAAATACAGGGAAGTGATTTCTCAGAATTTAGCTCTTGAAGAGAAATACGGTTTGCTTTTGTTTGGAAATGTCTCTTGAAAGGCTTACGCAGTTGTGTGATGCTGCATCACTTTGCTATCATTTTTGTTTTGCTGTGGCAATAAAAGATAACATCACAAGGGCTATGTGAGACAATTAAACTCCAAAGCCCTGCATACATAGGTAAGGAGAGAGATATACAACATACAGTCCACTCCTCGAAGACAAATGGCAAAATACATTATTCCTGGCCTGGGCTTTTTGGTATGGTATGACTATCAAAGTGATCCTTGCACAGTAGGTAGATGTGGGTGTGCAAAAAAATATTCATTCAATATCTGGGTTTAAAAAATAATGTTGATTTTTGTGTGTGTTTAAAATTTTAGTACCAGGTTCCAAATAATTTCTAAAATGCTCCACCTCTTCCATTAGTCCTTTGGGAGGATTTTAAGCAAAAAATAAGAGGCAAAAGGTACTGAAAATATTTTTACAGGTATGTGCAACTGTAATTAAAAACCCTAAAAAATATTTTTAGCACCCATCATGCTGCAAAACCAACATGCCTTGATCTCACAAGATTAGTCTACTAGGGGCAAAAAGACTGAGGAGCTCTATCATGCTGGGATTTGAAGCATGGGAACTACAACTAGGTGTGAGAGACTAATCCAGTTTCTGCTGCATATTCAGTGTTTGCCTGACAGCAAGCGTATTTACTGTTTCACAGCTACAGGTTGGGCAGAGAAGAGATTCAGAGCAGCCCTGCGGAGAAAGACTTGGGGGTGTTGGTTGATGAGAAACTTAACATGAGCCAGCTTCAGTGTGCGCTCACTGCCCAGAAAGCCAACCGTATCCTGGGCTGCATCAAAACGAGCGTGACCAGCAGGTCCAAGGAGGTGATCCTGCCCCTTTACTCTGCTCTCATGAGACCTCATCTGGAGTATTGTGTGCAGTTCTGGTGTCCTCAACATAAAAAGGACATGGAACTGTTGGAACAAGTCCAGAGAAGGGCCACGAGGATGATCAGGGGACTGGAGCACCTCCTGTATGAAGATAGGCTGAGGAAGTTGGGGCTGGGTGAGATGGTTTAGTGTGAGGTGTCCCTGCCCATGGCAGGGGGGTTCGAACTTGATGATCTCAAGGTCCTTCCCAACCCTAACTATCCTATGATTCTATGATTTTATTTCCAAAAACAAATTTGGGGTAGTCTTTATGGCTTGTTTTTCCATGGTGTGTCCAGTATAAACTGTAATGAATCTATGAGTAAGATTCAGGTAAACCACCAAACATTTTCCAACTGGGCATGGTCTGAATGTGTAACATATCTGTGAAAGGTTTCATCTCCCATTACTTCTGCACTGAACTACAGAAGTCTGTCAGCCAGCACTCACACAGCAAGCCAGTAGTTGAATTATTGACTGCTTTCACCAGGGGATCAGGCAGAGGTTTTGGATCCCTGAAGCCAAGTTTCCACACTGGATGCATGCAAAACTTAATGCTCAGACACGCACACTAAGTCTGCAAGGGGACTTTCAACACACTTACAGTCGGCATGAGCATTCATTTCACAGAGGCATACATGGAGTGTGTACAGCCTGACTCCACTGGGGAACTGTTAAGACAGAGCTTAATTGAACTTAGATCTATTTCTTTCCCTCTTAAAAACTAACCTTCTTGTTTCTCTCCAACTTTTACCAGCTCAGATTCTTGACTGGGCTCGCTGATGCCATACACGTTAGCAGCTCGCACACGGAATTTGTACTCTCGGTCAGCCTGCAGGTCCTGCACGTTGAAAGAGGTGCTGCGGCAGGTGGTGAGATCTGTCCATTTGTTATCCATTGAGTTCCAGATCTCCACAGTGTAGGACTGCACTGCACTTCCACCATCATAAGAGGAGCCGTACCATGAGAGAGTGAGGGAGGAACTCCGTATGTCTGATGCGCAAGGTGTTCCAGCAGGTGGATCTGGTTTATCTGCAAAAACATATCAAAGCAGATTGGATGAAGTCATGAGGGGAAGAGGCAGGACTTCCATTAGGGTATTACTGGCCCTAGGTAACAGGCTTTTTCTTTCCATGCCATTGCTCTGCTTCAGAGGTTTGTACTACAGGAAGAAGGAACAACTGCAATGCAGATGGACATACCTGAATTAGCTGACATAGACACCCATCCTATATGGACCTCAGCATGGGTTGTTCAGTTCCCTGGGCATCTTGGTCAGCCATACTGAAGCCTAATGCCCTTCACAGCTACCATTACAGAAACTATAGATCTCCCACAGTGGTGCAAACCACTCCTTGGTGAAATTCCTTAGAGGTTTACCCCTGTAACAATCACCATAGCTGTGACGCTCTTTCTCCAGCTACCTTCATCTGCTTCCATACTTCAGAGCCGCTACTAATTATTCACAGCCTCAGAATGTGCTACTCATCCAAATATACCTGGGTAGCAGAGATACTAATACCAGTTTGTTGACACAGAAACACAGATCTTGAAAGGTGACAACTTTGTCTGCTAACAATTTAGTGAACAACTTCACCTATGTGAAGTTTTTCTAAGCCTAGTGCAGTCCACACAGCCATCTCTGGAGAAGAGAAGGCTGCATGGAGACCTCATAGCAGCCTTCAAGTATCTGAAGGGGGCCTATAGGGATGCTGGGGAGGGACTCTTCATTAGGGACTGTAGTGACAGGATGAGGGGTAACAGGTTAAAACTTACACAGGGGAAGTTTAGATTGGATATAAGGAGGAAATTCTTCACTGTGAGGGTGGTGAGGCACTGGAATGGGCTGCCCAGGGAGGTTGTGAATGCTCCATCCCTGGCAGTGTTCAAGGCTAGGCTGGACAGAGCCTTGGGTGGCATGATTTAGTGTGAGGTGTCCCTGCCCATGGCAGGGGTTTGGAACTAGATGATCTTAAGGTCCTTTCCAACCCTAATTATTCTATGATTCTATGATTTTACATAATTTAGATACTGAGATTTTTTTAAATCTCATATACATCTTGGAAATTGCTGGGGAGGTGGAAGATCAAAGCTTCTGTTTATCCCCAGTTAGAGGCTTGTTCCTGCAGTCCTTATTTGCATGAATAGATCCAATATCACCAGAACCTGGTGTGCAGATAAGCAGCCAACCATGCAAACATCGAAGCAATACAAACCCCATGCAGGTATATGAATTTTTCAAAATCAAGTTTAATGATTACACAGTAACTGAAATAAATGTTTTTCTAGGGCAGAAGAATGTGACGTTTTAAAAAAAGCTACTGATTAAGAAACTCTTTATGGATGTTAAGTACTTCAAAAGACTTTAAAGGGAAGAAATATCTTCCTTGGGAATAATCCTCTCAGAAGTAATCTAGCAAAACCTACAAAATAATGATGATGTTGATTTGGCTGAACTAGTGGCCAAAGGTTGAATGAGAAATCAAAGGATAAAATGACAGAAGATGAAAAGAAAAAGACTGATAAGAGTAAGATGCTACAAACAGTGGTTACACTGGACATGGACTGATAAAATCCTTTCCCATTTTGATGGCTAAAACTGCTAATGGACATTATCACTTTCTCCTTAAGAAGGGCAGAACTGGCAAACCAGCCAAAAATACAGCCACTTTTTTAACAACAAAAACATCCAAATGCTGGGGAAAACTGCTGTGGACTTTGATCAAGCCTTACTCTGGTGGACTATATGCTCACTGGTAATTCTCATATGACCATACTCAAATTATCATCCCTGGGAAAATGACTGAGCAGACAGAAATAGCCACAGTTTGCCACAAACGTGCCTTTAGTCCTTGGACAGAAGGGCTTCTCCTCTGACTGTTGTGGTTTTACTCATAGAGAGGGAAAATGGGGTAGTCTAATCTGATCAAGATGGTTAAATATCAGTTCATTATTTGGAAGTGTGCAAGTTCTGCTGACCAATTATTTTCCTGAAAAAAAGCTTTTGTAATTCCTTTTAGCTCAGTTGTGATGGAAAATCCATCTTCCTCCATAACTTAAATGTAGTAGAAGATAATTTGCTAACTGTGAGGGAAAAGGCTGGGAGGGAAGGAGGTGGACACCAAGGGTTTGCCACTGCATTCTGTATGAGAATGCCCAGGCAGAAGAAAAAGAGCCTGCTAGAACATTGGTTATCTGTATTCATTTTGGCAACACTTAAAAAGCCATTCCACTAGGATTCATCATTATACAGTACCTCTCTTGTTAAACACAGATATCAGAGAACAAGATGTCCTTAACCTTGGTAATGGCTTATTGCCGTGTTTAGCTGTCACATTTTACTCACCTCATTTTCTAGTAGAATAAAAGGGACTTCTAACAAGCATGAATTTGTAGTGTAGATATCATGAACTGAGTCAGAGAAGTTAAGTGATTTGCCTAAGAATAGAAGGAGAGACTGTAACAAAGATGAGAACTGAATCTTGATCTCCTGGTGCCTTCCCTGTACTATCCTGTCCTAGCTGCCTTGGAGTTGCAAGAAGTGAGAATTTAATGCTTACACCATTCACAATATCAGAACCCTTTTACAATGCTACAGCAGCCACCAGAGAGCTGGCTGTATAGCACACATGGATTGTGTATGATTTTAGTCTAACAGCAGTGATAACAATCTCCTTTTCACTGCAAGTTGCTATCCATGCAGACCTTGTAGGGAATGATGTTACCTCTGTCCTCTTAAAAATCTGTACATAAAAAGAATATTTAGCTCTGTGTCTTGTTTTCTTCCTATATAATCATTCTTGCATCATCTCAAGATGCAGATAGAAGAACTTGGATAAGTAAACAGCTGATTTGCCCTAACTCCAAACAGAACAGAGCAGTTGCTGACAGCAAGAGTAAAATAGCTTTTGAATAAAAAGTTAAGCCAGTAGTCTGTCACTTTACAGAGGCATCTGTTCAGGTTTGTCAAAACAGTACAGATTCTCTGACATCTGCTCCAGCTAAATCTGGACTGTATGCATTAGAGGGGTTTCTGTTTGAAAAAAAAAAAAGTGTTAGCTTGCTCTAGTGCGCTGAATGTTACATTGAAGGAAGAAAGAACTCATATGCTTCTGTCTTTTCAGAGCACTGTCCTCTCGTGCAGGACATGAAAATACAGTCTCTGCTGACTTTCATGCCCAGAGTTTCATTTGGAAACAGCTTCATAATTTATCAGTTGCCTAGGCCACAGTTACCTTAGTGACCTCTCTTTCCATGACTCCCCTAGATAACTGCAATCCATTTGGCCAGCATAGTTTACAGAAGCAAGGCTTAAGTATGTGAGCACTGGAGAGAAAACAGTCATAGCCAAGGGGACATCAGTGCTGAAGAAAATCCTACATGGCTTCAATCTAATATATGCCAGCCAGGGGAATATTTCTCCTTTCCTAAGAAATTTTTCCCAGTAGGCAAAGACAAAAACCTGCAACCCTGGCTGGACTCTCTTGAGCCACAAAGATGCATATTTTTGTTTAAAGTCTACCACATGCTGCTGCCTGCAGATCTGCTCAATGTATAAATACTGGGGTAGTAGCTGCTATGGGAGATCATAAACAAGAATGAAAGCTTGATCTTCGCTCTTTCTTAGTATGACAGATGTACCATTTTACCATGCTTTAAAATTGTTTGATATCAGACTGGATGGTATCCTACAGCTGTGCACATTCAGAGAATTTGCAGATGGTCTCTCCATGTGTCTGTTTTGTTTCTCAAGTTTATTCCATGAGGATTTTAAAGGTTACCCTTTATTCATCTGCCTGTATTGAAAGCTAGGATATTTTGCCAAACTACATTCCCTTCTGGAATATGAAATCTCTATCAGCACAATTAACTGCTTCCAATAAAAATATCCAGTGGGTCAAGGAGGAGCATGGAAGTCAAGCACAATTCTCTATTTTGTCCTGTTTTAGTATTTAGTATACCGTTAATGTCCTTGAGCTGCTCATTTTCAGTATTTCATTTGCATGTCATGTGCAGTCTCTTACACACATAAACATACTTCATACTTAGGCTTATATTGTGAGGGCTTTACATAGGCTTTTTGGACCACAGTTTTGTTCTTCCTGTTCTGGACCAAACCATAGCCACAAGCCAACATATTAACTAGAAGGAAGAGAGTGCATCCAGACATACACTGCTGCTTGTGAACATTTCTACAGGGGAAGCAATTAATTTGAATAGCAAGCTGTAACTTCAGTTTTACTGTTACATGCAACAAAAGAAAACACATAAATATTCTCCACCATAAAATGTCTTAACTGTATGAAACTAACAATATTCCGGTCTTGGCTAACTTACAACATGCATGTAACACCAAAATCAAGACTTAGCTACACTTTATGATAGTCTAGATTGTCCCAGTCAAATTGGCTGTTTCTACACAGTCCTGTTGAACTTGGTCAAAATCCTATAAATTCCAGTGCCTTTGTAGCAGATAGATAGTACTTACACCTCTTTTACTAGGATGCATGATCACCTCGTTTGCCTAACAGTATGAATGTAGAGGCTAACAAGAAAGTTGGAGGTTGGACAGTTAAATGCTAATGGGGTATCAAGCACAAAGCTTCCTATGTAATATCATTAGGAATATCAGTAAGAATTGCCCTCAGCTGGCTCCCAAAGCCTAGGCAAGAAAAAGAGAAGGACAAGTAGCTAATTTGGCCTTAAGCCTCACTCAGGGACTGTTCTACACAGCAGCACAGAGACTGCATAAAGTGACTAACACTTGTGGCACTGAGGAAATATCAGTAGCAACTCATATGTGTTATGCACCATACATAGGGGAGAGGGGAGTGGAGGTGATGTGAAGGAGTGCTCTACTGCTTTCCTCCCTTTGCGCTCCAGCAAACTAAGCTCAGATTAAAAGACCCTGCTTCCCAACAAAGGGAGGTGTAAATTACCACTACCTCAGACCAAAGAGGTCAGATTCAAGTTTTTTCTTTGTTGCATGTGCTCCGTAGGGCAAATGGTAATGTAACAAGCTGGCCTCATAT